ATTTTGTTTCGTTAAAGAATCAGTGCTTCATAAGAAGCAACTTCAGGCCCTAAGAAGCCAAAACACAAAAAAAATATGTAGTATCAATCAATAGACACAGATAGAGAACACTATGTATTGTAAACAAAACAAATTTTACGAAAAAGATCAAACCTGCTCAATGTCAAGATCAACCACCTTCAAAAGTATCAACCGTCTTAAAGTTCAACGTTTTAAGCAATATGATACTTGATACAGTAAACATAGGCTTCACTTCCAAATCATCCATTATCGTGTACATAACGTCACTCTTGACGTATCCTCCCTTAATATTGCCGCACGCCACTCTAGTAGGTTCTGGTGGAGGAGCAACATAAAACACCTGGGCGGATATTTTCGAGGCTCTCATAAAGTTTGCCTAAGCAACCAACCATGCCACCATTAGAGAGGAGGAGCCTAGTCACAGTTGCAAAATGCAAGGACAGAAGAGTGAAGAGAAAATCCACAACTTCCTTGCTTGCTTCAGCAAACAGAACTTTGTTGCTTTTTGTGTCAATCAGGGGCTTCAAACTCACAGTACGTAGCGCTGTTGGTGGTAGCCATTCAGGCAATATTGAGGACAGAGGAGAAGGGCAGCATATGCATAAGCGTTTAAAAAAAGACCCATTTATAAAGGCTTAGAAAGAAGTCCTAAATTCAAAAAAATTCAAAAATGGAATGGTGAATGGATCATGAAGTGGGAGGGTCACCTCGGACCCTGCATCAGTCAACCACAAAGCCAACTCTACAGGTACAAATCTGTCATTACCTATATGTAGGGAATATAGTTTACAGATGAGTGAATAAATGTGTCTTTATTACCAATATAACATTTCCATCAACTAAGCTACATTTCCAATTTCTTTTTGTGAAGCACTATACATCTTGTGGGACTATAGTTCCTCTGCAGCGGGGACAAACAGCTTAGGGTTGTCTGAGACATACCAGTAACTGGTTGCACAACAGAACTGTTCGGCGGGCCTTTGGATCATTGGTGATCAAAATCCGAAGGACATTAGCTCCAGCAGAAAGTGTCGTAGGTTTCAGCAAGGCCTCGTCCTTGTTAGTAGCAGGTTGTAGTATGTGTCACTGAGATTTTCAATGCTCTTGTAAAGTTTGACTAAGCTTCCACCCATGTCATCCTTGTTAGAGACGAGTTTAGTGGCAATGCCTAGAGGCAAAAGACAAGACTAAAAAGCAAATCCACAAAAGTGCTTCCCCTCCTGTACACAGCAAAGTGCTTCCCCTCCTGTACAACCAGTTGATTAGCAACAAACAAAGCAGTTAGAGACCAGCATCATCCTCCTCCTCCTGTACACAGCAAAGTCCAAAACACATTATGTCAGGATTTGAAGAACACAGCAACCTAAAGACTCGTCAGGGAAAATAAAGGTCAACAATCCTGATTGGAATTAATATGGACCTAGCTATTCAAAATCCTTATTTGAAAACTCTATCTTCTTTTTTTTATGTACTTAGGAAAGATGACATCAAGGAAAATATTTTGAAGCATTTTCAAATGGAACTTTTTCCATTTACCTCAACTCTTGTTATATTACTTGGTTTCGGTTTTGATGATTTGCTAGCAGTATTAGACACTACCATCCAATCAAAATTCACTTCTAATTGGGGATTTTAAAGATAAACGGAGACATTAATAGACTTTTCAAGGGGCACCTACTGCAGCTGAGGTCTGGTTCCATATAGCAAGTGATTCAGCAACTTCAAAGATAAAAAGTGCATAAGCAAAAACATGTTTAAATGCTGGAGATGGAACAAAATCAAGTGAAATGGCCTAAGGTTGCATGCACCCTATTAGTTAGTATTTCAGTACAAGATCATCAGACTAGGAAGGTTGATTCACTAGTGACCTGCCACATGACTGTGAAAACAGTGTAATCCTAATTCCACGCCAACCAAAAGCTCGTTATCTTTCAATTTCGAACTAACTTAAGTCAATTCCGGTACACCAAGAGGTACCCTTCCAGGATGTGGCATCCAGGGGTAGGTGCCAGGGAGCTAGGTGGCGTCTGGGCGCCCGCCTAGGCGGCTCTAGGTGGGCCTAGGCGCCCCTAGGAATGTCTAGGCGGGCGTTTTGCTGTTGAGGCGTGGACGAAGGGCGGTTGAAGTGCACAGGATCCGCTGCTTGTTAGGAAGAAAGACGGAGAGAGAGAGATCGATCGAGACAGAGAGGAAGGAGAAGGCGACGCTGGGAAGAAGAAGATATCTGACCTAATTTTTATATTTGAACAGTATAGCCGCCCGGCTATACCATTCATTGGAATAAAAAATTTACGGACTATCGCCGCCCGGCTATACTATTAATTTCAGGAAAAAAAATTAAAAAAATGGCATATAACTGCTCGACTGTACTCTTTTAATATGGGTCATCAGCAAGAGGGCGAATGCCATGGATACTGTGAAAAAAAAAAGCCATGCGTGTAGTGGTGGTGGTGGTAATTTCAACCCTCCGTAGTCGGTATAGATATGCAATTATGAAGATCAATTAATTTGATGTTGCTCGAGAATTAGCTTAAGGATCGTTGAGGTAGCAGAAACTCTGTCTTCTGCGAATTCTGAGTAGGGCTCAACATATTGTCCTACAAGACTAATTCCACTTTGTCCACCTTGTTTCTCTTGAAACTTCTCTCTGTAAAGCTCAACAACAGTGGCACGGGCTAGGAGAAGGTTATGGCTCACAATGTAAGGTTCAGTGGCTGAATTGCCTGCGCTATGCATGGAAACCCTGTTGAAATAGAACACCTTCCTGGCGCAGCAATTCCATAGTCATATCCAAATTTGGCAATGATCAACTGCTCGTTGATTGTGATCCAATTTTTGACCCTATCTCCGAAAGTTGTAAAACAGATTTCAATGTAAGCCTTGAAATCATCCACAAAAGAACGGTTCAAAGGGTCTAAGTACTTGTCTTCCAAACCTTGTGGTAGGTCAAAGTTCAATAAGGTCACATAGGGTGTGATCCCATTCTCGACTAATTCATCAAGAAGGCTGTTGTAGTGTTCAGTGAACAAAGTATAGCCGCGCGGCTGTACTGTTTGAATATAATTTATTTAACAAGTATAGCGGTGCGCCTATATACCATTAATTTCAGGAAATAATTAAAAAAGGAAACATGAAGTATAGTTAATATATTATATTTAAGAAGTATAGCCGAATTGGAATAGAAATTTAAAAAAAAAAAACAATGTGTATAGCCGCGCGGCGATACTATTAATTTCAGGAAAAATTTAAAAACCAGCTTACTTTCCATGAAATTTAAAGCCTCAAAAGTAAAATAAAAGAAAGTTCAAAAGAGAATCCTAGAGCCACAAACAACTTGCATAATTTTGAAGATAAACCATATATAGCAAGTCTTTCAAAAGACTTTCTGGCTAGAAGACCATGCACAATGGCATTGAAGCAAAGAACATAATTGCTAACCCATGGCTGCACGTCTAGATCATTTTTGGGTGCATGTCAAGAACTGCTAACCCATTATGCTTCCCCCTAGCCCAGCCTAGCTTGTATATGGATCCGTTCTTATTCAAGGAGCAAAGTGTGACTCAAATACATTTTCAAGGGTATATAAAAAAAAAAAAGAAGTCAAATATTAATACAGAGAGAGAGAATGGAATGGGAAAGTCATTAAAAAATTAATTACAATATATCATTATATTAAAAAATATATCTACAAAGTTAGTTTGTTTAATTTCAGCCATTCATTGTACTATAATCTAATGGTTGAAAACTTATGTCAAATAAAAGAATATTTTTGTTTAGAAAATCGATTCTATGATGACGTTGGTATGGCGTAGTTTCCACATTTTGACAATTTGACATTTTGTCGTCCAAAATGTCCAATAAGGGTTTGTTTCTTTATTACCGATTCAAAGACACTGGAATATTTTAAAAGTATAGCCGACCGGCTATACTTTTTAAATATATCCCAGACGAACACGAAGCTTGCAGTCGCAGTCAATCCATGTCGCTTCTCTATCAACTCAAGCTTCGATTTGTTTTCTTTGGTTTCGGTTGCTTCGTCCTCCGGGTTCGGCAATGAAAAAAGACCCAACCCGCCTAGCAGGCCACCAAGCTACCGCCTAGCCGCCTAGCGACCGCCTAGCCGCCTAGCAACCGCCTAGCCTCCTCGCGCCTACCTAGCGACAGCCTAGCCGCCTCGAGCCCGCCTAGCGACCGCCTAGCCACCTAGCCGCCCGCCTAGGCCGATTTTTCGAACACTGCGATTGACTGAAAGTCTGAAACAACAATGGCCTCTTTCAGCGTCCTTTGGCTTCTTTTGCAGTCTATGCTTTCTCAGCTGCTTCTGGTTTCTTGCGTCCATGACTCAAAATGCTACTACCGATCCATCTGAAGGTACTAGCCATCTTTCAGGTATAGCATAAATACGTTATGTGATGTGTACGCGATGATTGAATTGAGAATGCAGTGACGGCGTTGATCGCAATATTCAAGCAATGGGACATGAAAGCCCTGCCTATTAGTGGAGGAGAGCAATGCATTGGATTTGCCATCAATGGAAGCGAGTTTGAAACGCCAGAGAATAATCCATCCATCACTTGTGACTGTACTCATGACAAAAATACTACCTGCCATATCACCAAACTGTATGTTATTACCCTCCTCTCTCTCTCTCTCTCTCTCTCTCTCTCTCCATATTCGTTAGTCTTGTGTTGTTGACTGTAGCAAATCGATTAATTATCAAGTTTAGAAAACTAAGCAGAACATGCATGATATATCAATTGTAATATTAAGTGCCTAACTGCTCAATTTTTTTTCTTTCCAGTCGAGTTCATGCTCTGAACAAACGAGGGGTGTTTCCAAAAGAATTTGAGGCTTTAAGATATCTGGCCGTTTTGTATGAAGTTTTTGTTGTGAAAAGTTTTGTTCTTGGTTCCTGACAATCAACCACATTTTCTAAGTTTGAAAATAGAGGGTAAAAATTAATGAAAGACAATAGCAGTGATCCTGAAACTGAAAGTTACCCCCTGCCCATGATCCATCAGCTTTCTTCAAGATCACTTCCATCATAGCCACTTGGTATATAGTGCTTGGTCTAGACTTATCAGTAAAGTGCTGTACTTTGATTTGGATTTGTATATCATTGTTTCTTCAATTTTTTATTTTTGGAATTTTGACATGAAAGGCACGATGCTTGTGGTTTGTAGGTTGTTGGGTACCTTAACAGCAAGCAGGCGGCACTGTTCAAAAGAATGATTTGGGAAGCAATGAACAAGGACTATGATAAGGTAATGCCTTTGGAAATCCATAAATTTTATCATATGTGTGTTCAGAAGGATTCGATGCAATGCTAGGGGCTTTCTTAGTTTCTGTTTGTTCCATGGTTTCTTTTTATTTGTTGTCTATATTTTTGGCGTTTGAGTCTTTAGATTGAAAATCATTGAGATTATGTAATTAATCATGATTATCAGGCCCTGCATTATTTGCCTCTTCAATCTCCTTAGCTCTGTGATTGTGCAGGAATTCTTCACTTTTAAAACTGACCTCCTTTCTTGTATTTGAGTTTATGTTTGCTGCATGTCATATGTGCATTGTGTTCTGAAGCATAGCCTTGGAAGTCTCATCCAGCTTAGAGTTCTTGCCTAGTTCTGAGCTGTTATTTGAGTCACACACTGCATAACTGTGTTGAAAGTTTTCACTTCAATCTTATTTGCATTTGAATTATTTTTTGATCTTTCGACTATTTGTGTATGTTTTACTGCCAGCATTGAGTCTTATGTATTGATCTCTATATGCAAATATAACAATTGGCAGGGGAAGAGTAGAAAACGAGCCAGAATGGCCAAGAAAGCTGCTCCTGCTAAAAAGCCAGAAAAGGCTGTCAAAGTTTCTACTGTGATGGATACTAAGAATGTAAGTTAATAATAAACTGGTTTATGGGATTTTTGGTGCTTAAATTTTCCTGCAATGTTGATTGTCCTACTTATAATTTATTTAACAGATACTAGTGTGACATTTTGTTCTTGCAGAGGCTGAGTTCAAAAATCAACTATGAAGCCTTGGATAACTTAAATGAAGAGCTTGTAAGCATCTTCTATATGTCTTATTTTAGAATCAATTTTGCTTTATTCATGCTTTGCAAATCCCATATTATGTTATGTCAACATCCAAGGTCTTGTTAACTGATGCACAGACTACAAGCGACTAAAAGCCAATCAAATCTAATGGCACGTTTAATTCGATTGTCAAATGATGTTACTTGTTCAATATATTTTTTGTTTTCTTAATGTCTGGTTAGTGTGCAGACACCAAATTCCTGTTTAATGGAATAAGGTATATCCAAGTCATACAAACTACTCCAGGATAGAACTTAATACATAAAAGGATAATCTTTGGAAAATGGTATATTATGATTAAGCATGGATTAAGACATGAAAATGTGAAACCTGAAAATCAATCTGGTGGTATACTAGAATGATCAGTTAACTAATTGGGCAGTTAATGGGGCAGTTATATGGTTCAAAGGTTTTTTTTTTTTTTTTTTTTTTGGGTCATTTTATAATGATTTTGCAATGTAGTTCCTTGTTAAAAATCCTGGTAGGTTTTAGAAAATGGAGGTCTGTCTCTGCGAGTAATTCCCTGAACTTTAATAGATACTGAATTTGATTCATCTAATCTTTTCCTTCATGTGTAAAATCAGGGTTATGCACCTGCATTTGAGGAAGGCACAAAGTCTAATTGTGGCAGTCCTGGTGATATGCAACTGTCAAATGAAGAGGCTGAAGCCAGACAAGTCCAAGATGACGATTCATATGTTGCAAATGACAAATATAATGGATACGATTACGATGATGAATGCAATTATGATGAGGAATGCGATTTTGACGAATTGACTTAGATAATCAACCTTTTTTTCTTGATTTAGATTATTTTTTCATGAACCAGTTGTATCATGTTACAATCTAAAGGTTAAGCAATTGAATCTTCTGGTTTTTAACAACTTTTTCGAATTGGAATCAGTCTGAGGAGAGATGCTATTGAGCATTGTTTGCACGTGAAACTTTGTGAACTATAACCATGAGCAAAATTTGTAAATTGGAACACTGAATTGTTGGTTTAAAGTTGTTCACAGTTTATTGAGTGTAGGGAGAAGCACTAGTTTGACAACAATGTTTCCCCTGTTTTCTTCTTCCTAAATTCAACATTGACAACACCAAAAGCCTTCTCAATATTCTATACAAGTATGAGGAAAATTTCAATTGATCATCGATTTGCATCTCAAATTGTGAATTTATATAATTCAGTTAAAAGAAATTTTATTCAACGTTGAAAATTCTTTACATAGAACACAGACTGAATTGTGTCTTGGGTCTTGGTTCCAGCTTCCAAGCTGTTCAGAGTTTGCTAGCGAGAGCAAGATACTTGGTATGACGGCCCTGAGCTATATTTTTGCATGTCTTCTTCTTCCTTAACTCAACACTGGCAACACCAACAGCCTTCCCAACTCATAAAGCCTTGGCCTCAACCTCTCTTCACCAGGGTAAGCAGAATCCAAGTATGAAACATTGATCTCCACTGAAACTCCAAAGCTGGGACTTTCGATGGTGAGGATTGCAGCTAACCCTATCAAATCCACAAGGGTTGTTGTGGCTCCACCATGCATAAAATTGCCTCCATTCAGCAAACGATGGGCTACTTTGAAGGAGCAAACAATACGACCGCGTTCAAGGAGATCGACTTGAATGCCTTTCATGATAAAGGGCTCAAAGAACTTCTCTGGCAGCCCATCCATGGTGATTGCCATTTCACCTTCTTTCTCCAAGAACTTCTTCACTAACTCCATACTTGTTTCCTCATTTCTCCAGAAGCCTTAGGGTTGTTTGGTAATGTTTTCAGAGAATGTTTTCTTATAATATTTTCAGAGAATGAAAGCAAGAAAACGAATTTGCATTTTCATGAAATGAAAATGCGTCCAGTACATTAATTAGAAAACATTTTTAGAAAACAAAAACAATGAAAACGTGTTTGGTAGTACAATTTGAAATAATAATATGTGAGTTATTTTTATGAAAATGTTTCCCATGAGAATGAAAATAACTTTTTTATGTTTTCTACAAGTACAGATAAACTTACGTAGTATATTTTTAATTTTTTAAAAGGCTACCTAGGCTAGAGCCCATGGTAGCATTGTTGCTAGTTATAGCTCTTCGACTTTCACTTATGTAGGCAGAGATTTGAAACCCCAATGCACCCGCAATAATTCTAGGCTTAATTATGTACATGCCCTCTGTGCTTTCCAACTTATCTCAGACTACCACCTGTGGTGGAAAACGTCTCAAAGTACCCCCCAACGTGCAAAAAACTGTCTCACGTTACCCTTTCCGTCAGTTTTTTTGAAGTTCCGTTACGAACGTTACTGTTCATCTCCCCCAAAATTCCAGAACAGCAGCTCCTCCCATTTGTTACTGTTCATCGCACCAGTTTTTGGGCTGCCATCGCCTCCTCCGGCCACCCCAAGCGACGACATGGATATCAAAAGAACCAGCACGTTGTCCTCTACCACCCTCACATCTCAGCCGCTGCCAACCGTCGTCTGGATCACCGAAAAAAGCAAGAAATTGGCCGGTTTTTACCCAAAATCTCCATTGCTCGTTCGGGCGATTCCGAGCACCATTTTCTTCGATCCAGGTATGATTTTTCAACCTCTCGAGTTGTTCTTGCTGCTAGTTGTGTTGGTTAGGAGAAATTTCTGAGTTTTGGAGGGTAAATAAGCGATGAACAGTAACAAAGGGGAGGGGCTACTGTTCTGGAATTTTGGGGGAGATGAACAGTAACGTTCGTAACGGAACTTCAAAAAAACTGACGGAAAGGGTAACGTGAGACAGTTTTTTGCACGTTGGGGGGTACTTTGAGACGTTTTCCACCACAGGTGGTAATCTGAGATAAGTTGGAAAGCACAGGGGGCATGTACATAATTAAGCCATAATTCTATAGTGAAGGCCTCATATATGACCCTTAAGTGAGGCTCTATTTTTTAATCGTTAGATCAAATTGGTTAGTTGTTGAATTAAATTGATTAGCCTGATCTAACGGCTAAGAGATAGGACCTCGCCTAAGGGCCGTATACAAAACCCTCACTATAAAATGACTCAATGCATCCAATGAATATTTGTGTCAACCCCCTCCCCCAATCAATTGCTTGTAACCAAAAAATAATAATAATAAGTCCTCTGCACACACCATTTTGGGCCAGAGACTGACAAAAGATAACTTAACCATCATCCGAGGCCCAACTCTAGGGATATAACTGTCATTTCGCATTAGCACCAGAAATCACGGCCAAAGATATAAGGGAAAGACGAGCACTTTGTACTAGTAGGGAACGAACACTGTTGGAGCTCCGAGCCTGGGAGACGATGAAACGTTTCTTTCGACCAGTAGAGAAAGATGGGTCTGCCAAAAAGCCCACTCTTTCATCTTCTTCAGAAAATGGAGAAATTTCAGGGGAGGGCAGCAAGAAAGAGCCACTTAAGTTCATAACGTGGAATGCTAATAGCTTTCTTCTCCGGGTTAAGAAGAACTGGCCTGAGTTCACTAAGTTCATCACGAGCTTTGACCCAGATGTCATTGCAATACAGGCGAGCCATTCTTTCTCTTTCTACGTTCCCACTTCAAATTTTGGCTTGTTTTCATTTGGGGGGTTTGAGAGACATTGATGAATGCTTGTGATGGCAAATGGGTATGGCTATTTTGATTATTTTCGTATGCTGGGATATTTGGGTGCTTTCTTTTTGGGCATGTGAACGTTGATGCATGTGTTTAATGGGACGCGGTCTCCTAATGTTTTGAGCTCTAGGGGAAATTTGGTTGCTGGGTTTGAATATTTGATACATTTGTAGTAGTAAGGGTCACAGTTAATCAAATTTTTACTCTTTTGGTTTTAAATATTTAAGTCGTGCTGTTCACACTTTAGTTAGTCAGATTTTAAAAGGGTGGTTTGTGCACTTGATCTTGTCATTTGGATTCATTGTAGAAGTTGGCTAGCTAGATTGGTGCCTTTTGTTAATATTTTCTAGACACAAATAACGCGTATATTTTTAATTTAATTTTGGATTTGATTTGATATTTTCTTTCGTGATTTAGTATCTGATTCAAACTCAACCTTGTTAGTTGATTCCTTTACTGAGTTCATTTTGTTGGTCTATATTTTTGTCTATGTGCTTTGCTAAGTACTACGAATTCTAAAAGCAATCGCTTCGGCAATTGCATGTGTAACAACTTTCTAACTGCGCGTTGATATTAGGAAGTAAGGATGCCTGCTGCTGGTTCAAAGGATGCACCTAAAAATCCAGGAGAGTTGAAAGATGACACTAGCTCATCACGTGAAGAAAAGCAGGTATGATATTCTTATGAATAAAATTTTTGGGTGGGGAGTGTGCTTGTTGAACTTGAACTGTTGCAGTCCATTCCTATCATCGATCATTGTCATGCTCAAAGCATTGGAGTTTCATACGACACTGCAAAAATTTAGTACATTCCCCAGTTAATACTTTACAAAGCGTTGAGTTCCTGATTGGTTTAATGATTTTTTTCATACCTTTTGTACAAGTTTGTTCTCTTAAGAGTTGTTAGTTTTCTTAAGGTGGCATAATACAAGGATGTTCTCATAGTTCTAAAAGTTTATGAAATTAAGCTTCGTGATTGAGTTAAATTCACCATCCCTTCATTCCACCTTCCTTACATATATAAAATTTTCACTTGTATGTTTGATCATTACATGCAAAGACGCCCAAAACGATGATCTCTACTAATCTATATGTTGGTTATCTTCTCTCCTGTCTCAAAATGTGCAGATACTAATGCGTGCCTTGTCAAGTCCGCCCTTTGGAGATTATCGTGTTTGGTGGTCTCTTGCAGATTCAAAGTATGCAGGGACTGCATTATTTGTAAAGAAGTGTTTCCAACCACAAAAAGTATTTTTCAATCTTGACAGAAAAGGTTTGCTGCTGGTTAATAATCTGTTTCTGTAATAACATACACCCACTTAAAGTCCCGTATGAAACCAGGCCTATTTTCAAGATGCAAACATCTTTGCTACCTACCCATTAGTTTTGGATAATTTCATTCTACTATTATATAGTAAATATCCAAATGATGAACTTTATGCCTTTGAAAATTCTGTAAAATTAACTCTTGGAAAAGAATGCACTATTGTTAGTTTTCAAATGAGAAAATGGGATGCATATGTTGTGGTCCAACAATGCAGTGGGAAATCATTTTTAATCTCTGTGCTTGGATATCTATCCCCAAATGTTTTTTTTCTTATATTTAGTTGCACATGGAACAGCAGTCAGCTAATATAATTCTCTTTGTTGTTAGCTTCAAAGCATGAACCAGATGGCCGGGTCATCTTAGCTGAATTTGAGACCTTTAATTTGTTGAATACATATGCTCCAAACAATGGTTGGAAGGAGGAAGAAAATTCATTCCCAAGGAGACGAAAATGGGATAAAAGGATTTTAGAGTTTGTTCTGCAGTCTTCAGATAAGCCTCTCATATGGTGTGGTGATCTGAATGTTAGGTGAATGTTTTTCTTTCTTGCAGATGTTTTATCCCCTTAAAATCTCTTGTATCTTCCCTCCCTCTCTCCCTTTTTTTCTTGCTCTGTTCTCATCAAGTGTATCAGTTTTCTTATTGTGGAACTTATATTTTTCTTTCTGAATCTAAACTTCTATACAGCCATGAAGAGATTGATGTGAGTCATCCAGATTTTTTCAGTGCAGCAAAGCTTAATGGTTACGTTCCTCCAAATAAAGAGGTGTTATATTTAATACTGAAGCTACTAGAACATAATTATGGTTGCATATCCATTGTGATTAGTATGTGTTTTTTTTTTTTTAACTAGCCATATCTTACCTACATTGTTAAAAATGTAAAGAATGAAATGAGTAGTGACCACTCTTGTGGATGCTTATGCATTTCTTTTGTCAGGAAGTATTTGGTGGTCCCATGGATTTGAACTGCTTCATTCCTATGTACATAGAATATGGAGGTTCCGATCCATCATCTGGTATTTGACATTTGAGATAAATTAGAACTTACTACAAGAACTGAAGCCATGCAGTTGTGAGATTCAAATGCTTCTCTAGGAAAAGTTACCATCATTTGTGGTGATGGTTGCACTATGAAAACCTGTCCTTGTTTCATTTGATTAACAGTGCATTGAGTTTTAGTATTAGACAATTAGTATGGGGAATGGATGCAGGATCGTGAGGCTATTGTCAAATAAAAATTTGTCCATAATATGTGGTATTGCTTTCTTGATGATGCAGGATTGTGGACAGCCTGGATTCACCTTGGCTGAGAGGAAGCGTTTTGGTAACATATTGAAAGAGTATGTGACTCCACTGGAAAACTTTGTTCCCATGGTTTGCTTGAGAATTAGTATGTTGAAAGGATAACCTTTAAATTTTTGATATTTGTGTCTCTTTTTCCCCATGAAACCGAGGCCAGTTAAAAAAAATATCATGCCAATTTGTATCACAATTTGTGGCTGCTCTACCTGCCTCTGCCCTTGCCCTTTTTCTCCTTTTTTTGATTTCAATGGAATTAACAAAGTTGTTGAACCACTCTTTAGTTTATTTATTTTATAAGACCCCAAGTTTATTTAATGCTGCTTGTCCTGTCCATGGAAAATTGGGTATGTTAGTCATCAACTAATCAACTTGTTCTCCTGTTGGCTTTAGTTGTTACCATCTATCTTAGATTGAGTGCGCATAGAGGGAGATGGAGGGATGAAAAAAGGAAGAGATCTCACTGCAAAATAATTTGTTACATTTCCTATATTTAGACATAATTTACTTAGAGGAGGTATATTGCTACTCAAAGAATAACGTGGAGAGCTAGGTTTTTCTTTCTCATTATATGTTTGTTTCTTCACGAAGTTTTGAACATTGTCTGATTCGGGTTCTGTGGATTATGCTTCAGGGGAAAGCTAATAGATGCATACCGGTTCCTTCACAAGGAGAAGGACATGGAGCGTGGCTTCTCCTGGTCTGGAAACCCCATAGGAAAGTAAGAACTTAATATCATATGGATCAATATCCATAGGAATTTGATGTTGAAAATAATTTGCATTGGATCATTATTGTTGGATCCATTGCAATGTTTGCATATCTTTGCGAGGCCATTTAAATGTGCAGGAATGATTAGGTTAGTGGAGAGTAATTGAAATATCATATATTGTTATATACACGGATACCACCTGATAAACATACTGGGTGGTTTCTGGCAGGTATCGTGGTAAAAGGATGAGAATAGACTACTTCATTGCTGCAGAAAAACTCAAAGATAGGATTGTTGCATGTGAGATGCATGGGCTGGGGATTGAACTACAAGGTGTGTCTAATTCCATGTTGAATATTACTTCTGTTGGCTGGGTAGGGTTTTTTTTTTTTGGGGTTGAGAATTACATAAATATAGCTTCGAGCACTCCTCCTGTGAGCGCAGAAATGAAATAGCATTATCTTCATAATTTCCATACATTACATTCCATGTCACTTTTGTTTTTGTTTTTTTCTTTCCTTTTGGTATTAATGCTGCTTATATCTAAATAGCAAACATTGATTCTAAACACTCTGTAGGGTTCTATGGAAGCGATCATTGTCCAGTCTCCCTTGTGCTTTCTGAAGGACATGCCAATTCCAAAGAAACTGAATTATCTGCATAACATGTATCCATACGTTACAATGCCACTGTCATGTTTTAGAGAAAATTTACTTTCAATCTGTAGTTCTGTACTATATGGAGGATGCTATTTAGGTTAGGTTTCCTGAATGTTTCTCTAATACTTTGACAACGTGATGTGGGAAGAAAGAAGAGGGCATATTGCAATGACATTGATTGGTGTTGTTCAAATGATTTATGTAAAATGATTTGGCCCTTCAATTTCTTGTTTCGTTTTTTTTAAGAGAACCCTGATGCTATAGAAACTTCAATAGCGATACGGGTACAAACTTGTTTACCAACTTATCAATACCAAACCTATGTAGCATATGAAATGGCAATCTATGTAATGTGCCATCTCATCCTTTCTAATAACGTATTTTATGTTTTTCAAATTTGTTCACAATTATTTTATTCAAGAGAAAAGGACAGCAACCTTTTAAATCATGTCAACCCTAGAACAGTCAGGGGCAACGTCCCAAACCTAGCTAACCTCTACTTGTTCCTTAAGGATATTCACCTAGTTATCTAATTTATTTTAAATTCTTTTGAAACAATAGATGTAGTGCTTGAGACCCAAGTAAACCAACGAGCCCCTATATTAAAGCAGGCGTTGACCAGTCCTTGCTATAATGAAGGGAAGGCCGTGAAAATGGCAAGAATCCTCAGTTTTCAAAGCAAACAAAAACCAGTCAAATATATTTCACAGCACCCTCACAATGAGGCAGCAGCCACGACAACAATGAAACCCCAAAGTCTCATCCCAATTAACGGTAATCCCTGCCTTGATTTTATTTTTTTTCAACGTCGTCAAAAAATCAGAGAAAGAGGCAGAGGTGGAGCCCTCCTGTAAATATCTAAAGCAACTGCTGCCGCTGGCATGGTCCCACAATCCCCTAACCACCCTCAAGCTCATCTTCAAATAAGAACATTAAATGTAACAATTGATGGAATGAAAATTGAATATATTGCCAAAAAAATAAAATTGATTGATTGTAAAAGAAACAAATAATAATATTAAGTGTCACCGATTTGGAAAAAAAATAAATAAATAAACATTAAATTACACCAAACAGGCATTTAAAAGTCACCAACTAGTCAAATGTTTAGGATATTCACCTAGATATCGAACAATAATTCAGAAAATTATAGTTGGAGTGCTTGAGGCGCAAGTAAACCATTGAATTTGAGTTTCTATATTAAAGCAGGCGTTTTCCCAGTCATTGTTTTAATGAAGGCACTGAAAATGGCCAAACTCATCTCGGTTGTCAAAGCAAACAAAAACCATGTCAACAATATTTCAAAGCTCACAGCCAGATTAATGGCTCCTTATACAACTCTTGCTGGTCCTCCAGAGCTGATCAGAGACCGTTTCGTGGTTGCCAATAATTTCGAGAATGAGGCAGCCACGACAACAATGAGACCCCCAAATCTCTTCCCGATTTATGGTAACCCCTGCCTTGATCTCTTTTTCAAAGTTGTGGAACCATCCAAGTATAAGGACTTCGGCGTCAAGGAAAAGAAGATATCAGAGATGAAGGCCGAGGTGGAGGCCTCCTGTACATATCTCAAGCAAATGCTGCCGCTGGCATGGTCCCACAATCCTCTAACCACCCTCAAGCTCATCTTCAACCTACTAGATGAAAAAAGCTTTTACCAAGCGTTCCACACGGCGGCGGTTTGGCTCCACCACAACCACCCCAAGACCCTATTGTGTAACGTTCCGAATATTGAGTTGTTCCATTGTTTGTTTTTCCCTGTAGAGATTCTGTACCGCCTTCTAGAAGACGGAGACCAACACCGGAGGATGGAGCCCCTTGCGAAAATGATCAACAAGGCTGTTGAGAGGTACGAGCATGACCCAGACTATCACTTGCTGTACGACCAGGTTATGGATCTTTTTGTCGAGCACTTGAAGTCTGATATTCAAATATTGAAGCGAAAATGGAAGCAATCTGATGATATTAATGATGATGCCCAAGTATCCGACGCTGCAAACTCTTGCCTTTTCAGCAACTCCCAAGACGTCCACATCATACGCTCCGTTTTGTTGTGGGAAACCATTGCGAGGAAGGTTTTCCCGCGAGAATCGTACCCGGAATACCAACATCTTGAGGAGGCTGATTACATGAGCAAAATCCGAGACCGGCTCAGGAAGGAGGTTTTGGTGCCCTTGAACAAGGCCGAGCGTTCTCAATGCAGCAACCGTTCACGAAAAGCTGGTGCGGATGAGACCTATTTGAAGGAGGTGAAAGCAGACAAGTGCAAGATTGAGGCAGATGCTTTGCTTCCACATAAGATCTTAGCCTTTGCTGATGACCCCAATCTCCAGAAGGTGGCTGAGCTTCAATGGAAGACAATGGTGGAGGACATGAAAAGGCAAGGTAAAAATGGAAAGAAGACACTCAGCAACTGCTTGGCTGTATATGACGACGACTCTGAATTCCATTTTAGGCAAGGGATCCGGATGGACGCTTCGGTGGCTTTGACACTTTTGATGTCTGAACTGAATGAAGAGCCATGGAAAGGAAAGGTGATCAATTTCAGTGAGTCACCTCAGCTATACTTTATACAAGGCAATAATCTTATGAACAAGTGCGAGTTTGTCAGCAACATGCACAAGGGCCAGAACCTTGATTTTCAGAAGGTGTTTGATTTGATTTTGGAAGTGGCTGTGAATGAGAATTTGAAGCCAGAGCATATGATCAAAAAGGTATTTGTGCTCACAGAATACAAACACTTTGAAGATGCTTCCAACAACAGCTGGAAGACTGATTATGAGGCAATACAGAGCAAGTTTAAGGAGAAAGGGTATGGGACTGCGGTGCCACACATAGTGTTTTGGAGGTTCGAAAGTTTGCACCATGAGTCTAGGCCGGTGATGCCTTCCACAGAACCAGGGGTGACGCTTTTGAGTGGCTTGTCCAGCAATTTGATCAAGTTGTTCTTGGAGAATGGTGGAGAAATTGGCCCCGACCAATTCATGGAATCAGCCATCTCTAGTAAAAAGTTTCAGAAGCTGGTTGTAGTAGACTGACTGATTAGTTTGATTTATGATCATCTCATCTGTCGATTTAACTTAATTATTTCCTTTTCCTTGAAGATCAACAGTTTTAATAAAAAGATAATTACACACTTCCTTATTAAATTATTTATAAATTAGTAGATTATTCGCATCATTCAAATTAATTATGGTCATTTTCTTATCAAATCTTATACGAATTACTAGCTTGTTATATCTTCCATCTCGAAGATAAGCCTAGTTTAAAAAAAAAAAAAAGCATTAATTAAATTATTGGTTTTGACAAAATATAAAAAAATAAAAAAATCCTTGGTGCTCAAGTAATCACCTTATATAATTTTAAAAAAAATGAACAGAAAAATTAAAAAAAAGCTCAAAATACGGAAGTGTCTCATACAAAGGCCGCCATCGCCTTCTCTCCCAAAAACCAAAACTAATGGCTGCTTATGATTAAATGTAACAATTGATGGAATGAAAATTGAATATATTGCCAAAAAAATAAAATTGATTGATTGTAAAAGAAACAAATAATAATATTAAGTGTCACCGATTTGGAAAAAAAATAAATAAATAAACATTAAATTACACCAAACAGGCATTTAAAAGTCACCAACTAGTCAAATGTTTAGGATATTCACCTAGATATCGAACAATAATTCAGAAAATTATAGTTGGAGTGCTTGAGGCGCAAGTAAACCATTGAATTTGAGTTTCTATATTAAAGCAGGCGTTTTCCCAGTCATTGTTTTAATGAAGGCACTGAAAATGGCCAAACTCATCTCGGTTGTCAAAGCAAACAAAAACCATGTCAACAATATTTCAAAGCTCACAGCCAGATTAATGGCTCCTTATACAACTCTTGCTGGTCCTCCAGAGCTGATCAGAGACCGTTTCGTGGTTGCCAATAATTTCGAGAATGAGGCAGCCACGACAACAATGAGACCCCCAAATCTCTTCCCGATTTATGGTAACCCCTGCCTTGATCTCTTTTTCAAAGTTGTGGAACCATCCAAGTATAAGGACTTCGGCGTCAAGGAAAAGAAGATATCAGAGATGAAGGCCGAGGTGGAGGCCTCCTGTACATATCTCAAGCAAATGCTGCCGCTGGCATGGTCCCACAATCCTCTAACCACCCTCAAGCTCATCTTCAAATAAGAACATTAAATGTAACAATTGATGGAATGAAAATTGAATATATTGCCAAAAAAATAAAATTGATTGATTGTAAAAGAAACAAATAATAATATTAAGTGTCACCGATTTGGAAAAAAAATAAATAAATAAACATTAAATTACACCAAACAGGCATTTAAAAGTCACCAACTAGTCAAATGTTTAGGATATTCACCTAGATATCGAACAATAATTCAGAAAATTATAGTTGGAGTGCTTGAGGCGCAAGTAAACCATTGAATTTGAGTTTCTATATTAAAGCAGGCGTTTTCCCAGTCATTGTTTTAATGAAGGCACTGAAAATGGCCAAACTCATCTCGGTTGTCAAAGCAAACAAAAACCATGTCAACAATATTTCAAAGCTCACAGCCAGATTAATGGCTCCTTATACAACTCTTGCTGGTCCTCCAGAGCTGATCAGAGACCGTTTCGTGGTTGCCAATAATTTCGAGAATGAGGCAGCCACGACAACAATGAGACCCCCAAATCTCTTCCCGATTTATGGTAACCCCTGCCTTGATCTCTTTTTCAAAGTTGTGGAACCATCCAAGTATAAGGACTTCGGCGTCAAGGAAAAGAAGATATCAGAGATGAAGGCCGAGGTGGAGGCCTCCTGTACATATCTCAAGCAAATGCTGCCGCTGGCATGGTCCCACAATCCTCTAACCACCCTCAAGCTCATCTTCAAATAAGAACATTAAATGTAACAATTGATGGAATGAAAATTGAATATATTGCCAAAAAAATAAAATTGATTGATTGTAAAAGAAACAAATAATAATATTAAGTGTCACCGATTTGGAAAAAAAATAAATAAATAAACATTAAATTACACCAAACAGGCATTTAAAAGTCACCAACTAGTCAAATGTTTAGGATATTCACCTAGATATCGAACAATAATTCAGAAAATTATAGTTGGAGTGCTTGAGGCGCAAGTAAACCATTGAATTTGAGTTTCTATATTAAAGCAGGCGTTTTCCCAGTCATTGTTTTAATGAAGGCACTGAAAATGGCCAAACTCATCTCGGTTGTCAAAGCAAACAAAAACCATGTCAACAATATTTCAAAGCTCACAGCCAGATTAATGGCTCCTTATACAACTCTTGCTGGTCCTCCAGAGCTGATCAGAGACCGTTTCGTGGTTGCCAATAATTTCGAGAATGAGGCAGCCACGACAACAATGAGACCCCCAAATCTCTTCCCGATTTATGGTAACCCCTGCCTTGATCTCTTTTTCAAAGTTGTGGAACCATCCAAGTATAAGGACTTCGGCGTCAAGGAAAAGAAGATATCAGAGATGAAGGCCGAGGTGGAGGCCTCCTGTACATATCTCAAGCAAATGCTGCCGCTGGCATGGTCCCACAATCCTCTAACCACCCTCAAGCTCATCTTCAACCTACTAGATGAAAAAAGCTTTTACCAAGCGTTCCACACGGCGGCGGTTTGGCTCCACCACAACCACCCCAAGACCCTATTGTGTAACGTTCCGAATATTGAGTTGTTCCATTGTTTGTTTTTCCCTGTAGAGATTCTGTACCGCCTTCTAGAAGACGGAGACCAACACCGGAGGATGGAGCCCCTTGCGAAAATGATCAACAAGGCTGTTGAGAGGTACGAGCATGACCCAGACTATCACTTGCTGTACGACCAGGTTATGGATCTTTTTGTCGAGCACTTGAAGTCTGATATTCAAATATTGAAGCGAAAATGGAAGCAATCTGATGATATTAATGATGATGCCCAAGTATCCGACGCTGCAAACTCTTGCCTTTTCAGCAACTCCCAAGACGTCCACATCATACGCTCCGTTTTGTTGTGGGAAACCATTGCGAGGAAGGTTTTCCCGCGAGAATCGTACCCGGAATACCAACATCTTGAGGAGGCTGATTACATGAGCAAAATCCGAGACCGGCTCAGGAAGGAGGTTTTGGTGCCCTTGAACAAGGCCGAGCGTTCTCAATGCAGCAACCGTTCACGAAAAGCTGGTGCGGATGAGACCTATTTGAAGGAGGTGAAAGCAGACAAGTGCAAGATTGAGGCAGATGCTTTGCTTCCACATAAGATCTTAGCCTTTGCTGATGACCCCAATCTCCAGAAGGTGGCTGAGCTTCAATGGAAGACAATGGTGGAGGACATGAAAAGGCAAGGTAAAAATGGAAAGAAGACACTCAGCAACTGCTTGGCTGTATATGACGACGACTCTGAATTCCATTTTAGGCAAGGGATCCGGATGGACGCTTCGGTGGCTTTGACACTTTTGATGTCTGAACTGAATGAAGAGCCATGGAAAGGAAAGGTGATCAATTTCAGTGAGTCACCTCAGCTATACTTTATACAAGGCAATAATCTTATGAACAAGTGCGAGTTTGTCAGCAACATGCACAAGGGCCAGAACCTTGATTTTCAGAAGGTGTTTGATTTGATTTTGGAAGTGGCTGTGAATGAGAATTTGAAGCCAGAGCATATGATCAAAAAGGTATTTGTGCTCACAGAATACAAACACTTTGAAGATGCTTCCAACAACAGCTGGAAGACTGATTATGAGGCAATACAGAGCAAGTTTAAGGAGAAAGGGTATGGGACTGCGGTGCCACACATAGTGTTTTGGAGGTTCGAAAGTTTGCACCATGAGTCTAGGCCGGTGATGCCTTCCACAGAACCAGGGGTGACGCTTTTGAGTGGCTTGTCCAGCAATTTGATCAAGTTGTTCTTGGAGAATGGTGGAGAAATTGGCCCCGACCAATTCATGGAATCAGCCATCTCTAGTAAAAAGTTTCAGAAGCTGGTTGTAGTAGACTGACTGATTAGTTTGATTTATGATCATCTCATCTGTCGATTTAACTTAATTATTTCCTTTTCCTTGAAGATCAACAGTTTTAATAAAAAGATAATTACACACTTCCTTATTAAATTATTTATAAATTAGTAGATTATTCGCATCATTCAAATTAATTATGGTCATTTTCTTATCAAATCTTATACGAATTACTAGCTTGTTATATCTTCCATCTCGAAGATAAGCCTAGTTTAAAAAAAAAAAAAAGCATTAATTAAATTATTGGTTTTGACAAAATATAAAAAAATAAAAAAATCCTTGGTGCTCAAGTAATCACCTTATATAATTTTAAAAAAAATGAACAGAAAAATTAAAAAAAAGCTCAAAATACGGAAGTGTCTCATACAAAGGCCGCCATCGCCTTCTCTCCCAAAAACCAAAACTAATGGCTGCTTATGCAAGTCTTGTTCTTCGTCCCCTAGAGCTCAAACTACCCAGAGGCAACCCTTTCATGGCTGCCAATTTCAAGACAGCCACAATCGCTGCCAAGACAAGAGTTAATATGAGACCCCTAAATCCAATTCCACCATTTATAGGCTTGAGTACTGCTACTGGTAGTAATAGAAGAACCGCGGCGCCAGCGTCGATCTCTGAATCCTCCTCCACTGTCCCTGATGATGGTAATTGTAATGGTAACCCCTGCCTTGACCTTTTCTTCCTCAACTCCCAAGATGCAAAGGTGGCCGGAAGTAATCATATGGAGGAACTGCTGTCGCTGGCCTGGTCCCACAATCCCGTAACCACCCTCAAGGCCATCTACAAGATACTATTGGGCCATCATGACGAAATATTCCGCACGATTACAATTTGGCTCCACCAGAACCACCCCAAGACCCTATCATGCAACATTGAGCCTATTGCCGGATTGTTCGTGGATTTCTGGCAATTTTGCAAACTTCTGAATGTGCATCTAGACCTAGTTCTAAAAGACGAACGCCAAGTTGTTGAAGATGGCTTTCCCCGGATTAGATCTGAAACAAGCCATGACCTAGAACATGGCCAAGACGTGAGGCAGCAAAAGCAAATGGCTGTCGAGAGGTACGAGCGTGACCCGGAGTATCGCTTCTTACACGAGTTTATTTCAGACATTTTTGCAGAGTGCTTGAAGTCCGATATTGAAAAACTGAAGCACTCTGATGAGAAAGACAACTTGTCGAAGATAACCGATGCTGCAACCAGTTGCCTTTCCATGGGCACCAACTTTAAGGACCCCACTCTGCTAAGGCAGAGCATAGCGAGGAAGGTTTTTCCCCGAGAATCATACCCAGAATACCAAGGTGTTGAGGAGACCGATTATGCAGACTCTGTCCTAGATCGCCTGAAAAAGGAGGTTTTGCTGCCCTTGGACAAGTTGGACAAGGCCTACGAATCTCAAGACCGTGTAGTTGAGAAGTATTTGGAGGAGGTGAAAGCTGGCAAGTCCAAGATTGCACCAGATGCTTTGCTTCCGCATCAAATCATAAGGTATGTGAATCACTGGAATTTCGGGCAAGTGGCTGAGCTTCAGTGGAAGGCCATGGTGGAGGGTATAAAAAAGCAAGGCAAATTAAACGGCAAGAAGATACTCAACAACTGCTTGGCTGTATGCAACCTCCGGCACATGTTCAAGCCCGGGATGCGCACCATGGACGTGACCGTGGGGTTTACACTTTTGATGTCTGAACTGAATGAAGAGCCATGGAAAGGAAAGGTGATCGATTTCAGTTCGAATCCTCAGCTACATCTGATAAAAGGCGATGAACTTACTTACAGGTGCGACTTTTTGACAAGGAGGGTGCCCTGGTGTTGGAAGGTTGACTTTGAGAAGGTGCTTGATTTGATTCTAGAAGAGGCTTTGAATGGGAATTTGAAGCCAGAGCAGGTAATCAAGAAGGTGTTTGTCTTCACCGAATCTTCAAACTTTGATAATGCTAGGTCCAAGCCTAATGATGAGGAGTCTGATGACGAGGATTCAGATAATAGTTGGAAGACTATTTATGAGGGAATACAGAGAAAGTATAAGGAGAAAGGGTATGATAATGCGGTGCCACATATTGTGTATTGGCAAATGTGGTCTTGTCTCCCCGATCGTAGGTGGTGGGTGAAGTCTTCCGAACAACCTGGGGTAACGATGCTTGAAGGCACCACTGACAATTTGCTCAAGTTGTTCTTGGACAATGGAGGGGAAATTTCCCTGGACCTTATCATGGAAGCAACTATCTCAGGCAAAGAGTATCAGAAGCTGCTTGTAGTGGACTGAGTACTCGCTGGTTTTGATGTTCATCATCTGTTGTAGTTAGTTGTTTTGTTTCCTCTTTTCCTTGAAGACCAGAAACTTAATTAAATCATTTTAGGAAGTTCAAGGTTGCTGCTGCTATGAAATTAGATGAGGTTCATTTATGTGGTTGTTTTTGGATATTCCTACAAATTTGAAAGCAAATACTGAATAACATTCTCATTAAGAACCGGTCGATTTACAGTCTTTTTTTTTTTTTTTTTTTTTTGGTCTGTAATATTCCTGCTCCAGTAAGCATTCTCATGCACAAAGAATGAAACCCTCTTTCTTAAGGTATGAGAAAGAATATTTGACCCTACATTTATAATGTACAGTCATTAGGTTTCTGAAAAAAATTTACTAGACTCGAATCGGATTGTTTAATTTGAGACTTCTGTGTCCAGAGTCTGATTATGCTTTTAAGTTTAACAGCAGATATATGCTCCTTCTGATGTAGGAACTAAGAAGACTAGTTGAAGCTCTTTTTTTCCAATCATTTATATTATATGTGTACATATGTTCTGTGAAGAACATAGGAGACTTGAAATGGAGTTTGGTAATTGATGTTTAACAGACAATTCGAGCTATGTATATGAGATTGCTTAATTACCTTGTTCTTTTTCCATCACACTGCATTTAACCTCCATGAGGACCGAGAGCTTCCTCGTCTCGCCCCCATGAGGAAATTTTTTGTCACGCTATCTCGAAGCATAAATGTTTTGCTGTGAATAATTACCATGAGATAGGCTGGGGATCTGGAAATATTATGCACAATCATTGAAGCATAGCTACAGAATATGCAAGAAATGGTTTCTAAACTGTGGTTTTTAAAGTGAAAAAGAGTACAGGTTGTAAAAAGTTTGGCATCTGCTTGCCTTTTCTTATATCAGACCAGTTAGGCTGATTATGGGGGAAGAGAAGGTAATGGAATCCAAATGATTGCAAAATGTGGGCATAATCATCCTTTTCAATATCTGTCAGATAAGCAATTAAGTATTCAAAATAAAATAAAAGACAAAATATATTTGCCAAGAAATTCCCAATTTGAACTTTGCAAGTGTTATGACATCTTGGTTTTGGAAGTTTCTTGACTTCTAACAGCAAAATCAAGAACCATATTACTGCTAGGAAACATTTGAACATGTTCAAGGTTAAAACACTGTTTAGTTTTAAAAAAAATTTGATGTGATTGATAACTACATTTATGAAGTAGCTTACACTAACCCATGTTATGTGGATTAATTCCAGTTACAAAGAGGTTCCTCCAGAAACAGAAATATACACCTTTTGACTGGTGCACTTTTTTTTTTTTTTTCTATAACTTAAAGGATAACAGAGATTTGGATCCTGAAAAATCAGACCTGCAAAAGTTAGATTTTCTTTCTTCAATTTGTTAAAAAATGAGTGGTGAATTATCAAATCTGTCAAGGCTTATATCTTTATATACGTCCGGATTTCGAAAATTTTGATTATATATATAGCCTATGAGGAAATTTGAGAAATTCTGAAAAATTTTGATTCTTTAGACTTCGGAGAAATTCTCCTTTGCGGACATCTGGACGTTATTATCGTGAGAGAGTCATGTATTTTCTACAACCCTTCGTTGTTTACTTTAAATTCCTTCTTTTTCCAGTCGTTGTCAAATGATGTGAAAGTTAGATTACAACTACCATCTAAAGTAAGAGTTGTTTCAGCTTTAGCCGTTTATTGTTGTGCTTAACTGTTGATGTCAAAAATTTGTCAAGCCTAAAGAATCAAGAATAAATAAAGCGAAGGATGAATAAATTGCTCAAAAGTTAAAGCCTAACCGAATCATCTCCAAAAACAAATTTCCAAATGCTTTTTATAACTATGCCCCAGAAGCAAGAGATTGATCCAAGTAAACGTAATTACTATTACAAGCAGTAAAGAAAGCACACCAACCAACTTATCCTAGCATGAATCCACATCTAATCAATGTTTGTTAATCACCGGCACACACGTATAAGTATTTTCTTTAACACTTGCTAAAAATTTAAAGTGTCACATTGCAATACGGTGTGTGTTTGTATTTCGTAAATGAGGGATGGCGAGGGACTAAGTATGGAAATGACAAATCTGACCTCGCCCACCAGCAGCCATTTTTGCACATCCAATTGAATTGACCATGGTCACAAATCATTTATCTCCCAACAGTTTGACATTTATTGATAGTTTTCAGATGTCAATAGAAAAAGATGTACGCTGGAAGAAGTAGATGGTGCTCTTGGCTTGCCCTTATTCACCCAATGCAAGTCAAAATGTGATTGGTTACTTCTTCATCATAGGTTGCATGATGTTCTTATCATAACCCAAATTATATATATATATATATATGTATAAAAGTGAACTTTTTTGTTTTATTGTTTGACCTATCGCAGGAAACCCAAATGAATAAATAATTTAAGTATATAGTTTTATGTAACCTACCATTATAGCAATATAGCCATTCACGTAATGACACGTGGCTACATTTTGACCCACCACAGAATAGCGCCAAAAAAAATAAAGACTCTGAGTCAATATCAGTACGGTCGACCACTAGCCTCCTGTTACAAGCAAATTAATCCTTTTATTTTCTTTGGGTTAACAGTATGTATATGTATATGTATATGAATGAAAATGAAAATGAGAATGATATTACAAAGATAATAATGAAAATGATATTATATGTATATCAATGAAATTTTACTTTTTGAAACTCTAAATACAAAGGTACATTGTTATTATGCGGAATGAAATGGTAAATTTAATAGCCGATTTCTAGATTTGTTGGCTTTGTTATACAACTAAAAGTCAGCATGTCATAGGTTTGAAGACTAGTATCAAATTCACGTATTACCGAAAAATGGTAAATTGAATATAAAATAAGAAATAAGACATAAGGATGAGAAAAGTCGCCTCCTAGTATAAGAATGTAAATTGCAACTCATGGAAATGTCAACAGGTCCATAGTTCAATGACACCTCCTCCTCTCCCTCCAAACTCTAAAAAAAAGAAACTCATGGAAATGGTAATTTACCATTTCATCTCATGTTTGTGCTTACTAATTATGGGGGAAAAATCTCAGAACCTTTTTATTTTTTTAGTGAAGAATTTTCTATGAAACAAACATCGCATGTGATAACAAAAAACACAAAAATCAGGTAAAAGCAAACACAAGAAGAAACTAATAAATACTAGCACAAGTATAAAAAAAAATTCATGTAATTACTCACTTAATAATGTATAAATTACTGTATAAAAATGTTATGAATGATTACTTATATAATTTAGATGATCTAGGTTCAAATTCTAAACATAAAATATTTGAATTTACCTTCTGAATTTGTACTCAATAAGACATAATAAAGGTTGGATAAGTTTTTGTCAAACATTATCCAAACAATAAATTCCCAATTTTACGTCATCCCGAAAATTAAAAAAGCTAAAAAAGAAAAAGGAAAATGGCACAATGGTAAAAAGATTGAGAAAACAATGTCATTTCGAAGAGTGGTCTCAAACCCAGAATAAAACCCCACTTGCATGTCTACCTCACGGCGCTCTCACACCCACACCCACACCCACACCCACAGTCCTGCGTCTTCCCCTGCCCTCAATTTTTACTATTTTCCTCTTCTTTTTCTCCTCTGTAGCATAATAAAGAAAACAGAGGAAATAAGAAGAAAATCCCAAAAACCAAAAAGCCTAGAAAATGAAACATAGAAGAATCTAAAGTGCTGCTTCCCTTTCTCTGTTTGCTATGCGAAATGGGGTTTTGACTGAGAAATCATCAAAACCCAAATCTCAGAAATCCACGAATTGCTAGTTTCTGCTATTAATGTCTGCTTCAGGCTTAGCCGCAGAGCCGAACCAGGAGGTGTTTTCATGGCTCAAAACCCTACCAGTAGCTCCAGAGTACCACCCAACTTGGGCCGAGTTCCAAGATCCGATTGCCTACATTTTCAAGATCGAGAAGGAGGCTTCCAAGTACGGAATCTGCAAAATCGTGCCTCCGGTGCCGCCTTCTCCGAAGAAGACCGCAATTGCGAACCTGAACCGGTCTCTGGCGGCTCGGGCCGGCCCTTCGGGGGTCCCAGGCACTAAATCTCAGCCCACATTCACTACCCGGCAGCAGCAGATCGGGTTCTGCCCTCGGAAACCCCGACCAGTGAACCGACCCGTGTGGCAGAGCGGCGAGTACTACACTTTTCAGCAATTCGAAGCGAAAGCCAAGAGCTTTGAAAAGACTTACTTGAGAAAATGTAACAAAAAAGGAGGGCTTTCACCTCTGGATATCGAAACCCTTTACTGGAAAGCGACTGTGGACAAACCCTTTTCTGTAGAGTATGCCAACGACATGCCTGGTTCGGCTTTTGTGCCGTTAAGTGCCAGAAAGAGTAGTACTAGTAGAGATGCAGGGGACAATGTGACCCTTGGTGAGACTGCTTGGAATATGAGGGGGGTGTCGAGGTCAAAAGGGTCTTTGTTGAGGTTTATGAAGGAGGAGATTCCGGGGGTTACATCACCTATGGTGTATATAGCTATGTTGTTCAGCTGGTTTGCTTGGCATGTGGAGGACCATGACTTACATAGCTTGAATTATCTGCATATGGGAGCAGGGAAGACGTGGTATGGCGTGCCTAGGGAAGCAGCGGTTGCTTTCGAGGAGGTGGTGAGGGTGCAGGGTTATGCAGGAGAGATCAATCCTCTTGGTGAGTTCAGGGCAATGCTGAACTTTATAGGACTCAAACTTGACAATCCTCTGTTTTGAATTGTGCTTTCTTTTGTTTGACATTTGTTGGAAAGGTTCATTATTCTGTTTGTTTGATGTTATATATCTATGTGAAATACTGTTGAATTTATAGGATATTGTGGAATGAAGTTGTCTTGTGTTAGGAAGCAAAGAGTGGGAATGATTACTTGTTAGTTAAACACCTAAGGGCCTGTTTGATAACCATTTCAATTTTAGTTTTTAGTTTTCATTTTTTGTGCTAGAGTATAGAGGAAAAGGAGGGAGAATGGAAGTGAGAATGAGAGTGGAGATGAGATTGAGAGGGAAGATGAGAGGAGAGGATGGGAGGGAGGAGTAGCGAAAGTGAAAACAAAAACTAAAAACTGAAATCTATTTCAAATTGTTTTCACTTTCAAGATTTTGTTTTCACTTTTGTTACTCCTCCCTCTCATCTTCCCCTCTCACCCTCTCTCTCAATCTCATCCTCACTCCCATTCTCACTCTCATTTTCCTTTATACTCTAGCAAAAAAAATGAAAACCAAAAACTACCATTGAAATGGTTATCAAATGGGCCCCAAGATTCTTAGAATGGTGACAAAGAGTGGATTCTTGGTGAGGCTTCGTGGTGTTTTGTGTGCCTAGTATCTTGATCTGTGAGCATAGTGTTAGGTTATGAGTTAAGGATTGTTAGAAACCTAAGGGTGGTGAAACTATTGGGTTTGGAGAATTTATTTTGAGTTTTGATTTTGATGCATAGTTTGAGAATTAATATTGCTCCTCTTTTTACATTCCTTTTTATATAAAATTGGAAGTTTACAAGGGCATGACTAATTTGTGGTATTTGTTATCTTACTTTTCTTTTTATGCTAAGAGTTGCTACATGATGGCGGGACATGTCACTGTAGACTTTAAGGAGATGGTACTTGAATTTTTCTCTATATTTTTGAGCTACTAACCTTGATTAGCATTTGCCTTCAATCAGTTACTTTTTCAACCCTTGGTCAGAAGACCACTGTGATGTCACCTGAAGTATTTATCAGTTCAGGAATTCCATGCTGCAGGTAACTTCTTGATCATTGTTTTGTCTACTTCTGAATGTCCTCCTGTTGCCTTCTAAGTTCCTTCGTATGAAGAACGATTCATTCTTGATGACCTTCATAGTCAATTGTGTTATTGGCTATGTTTTGATCTAATTGAAAAATAAGCACCAACATCAACCTGTTTGATTCATGCCAACTCAAATTACATCTTTTGATCCACAAATAGAAATTTTTTCTTAGAGAGGTGCTTGTATTGCAAGAGAAAAAAGATACACGGAGGAAGCCAAGTGGTCAAGAAGACCACACAGAACCACCCAACAAATAACACCGCCAAGTCATTCCTCCTAGAAGTTTATTGTAGCATTACTTAGAATATCTCGACTTGTGTTGTCAATGCATCCATGTATTTCTTACACCTTTAATTGCTTTAAATCAGGCTTGTGCAAAATGCTGGGGAGTTTGTCGTGACTTTCCCAAGAGCCTATCACACTGGATTCAGTCATGGTGAGAGAGCATAAGACTAACATTTTATACTCAAGTCATCATCATTGTCGTCTTTGTTTTTATATAAAAGAAACTAACTATTTCATTTGTTCAAATTTTTATGTAGGATTTAATTGTGGGGAGGCAGCTAACATTGCAACTCCTGAATGGTTGAGGGTAGCAAAAGATGCTGCTATTCGACGAGCTTCAATCAATTATCCTCCTATGGTGTCTCATTTTCAATTACTTTATGATCTCGCTTTAGCATTATGTTCAAGGTTTGTTCGTGACCTTTTGGAACTTCCCTTATGCCTAATTATATAGTCATATAGTGCTTTTTTTTTTTTTGGTGGTAAACATAGTTATATAGTCGGACCCATATTTTGGTTGACTATTTATTGAGTTTGAAGACAGTGGTTGGAAAATTTCAGGAAGAAACAGCTGTTAAATTCTACACATGATATATGCAAAAAAAAGAAAAGAAAAAAGTATTATGATGATTTTAAAAAATCTTTTGGTTTCATCTGAGTATATTATTTTTCTCCCTGATGTTTAAGAATAAAAATTCATACTGCAAACGTGCCAAAAAATCCACAAAGTCTATTTGATAAATTTTCAGTTTATAAATTCAATTAGTTAACAAGGGTGGTTAAATGTATATTCCCCTCAATTACCTAATGCTCTCCCTGCAGAATGCCTGCGCGCATTTGTGCTGAACCACGGAGTTCTCGACTAAAAGATAAGAGAAAGGGTGAAGGAGAAGCAGTAGTTAAAGAGCTATTTGTGCAGAATGTTATTCAGAACAATGACCTGCTTCACGTTCTAGGAAAAGGGTCGTCAATTGTACTTCTACCGCAGAGTTCTTCAGACCTTTCTTTTTGTTCAAAATTACGTGTTGGTTCACATTTAAGAGTAAACCCTGGCTTTGCCAATGGTTTATATGATCAGAGGGAAGAAATGAAACCCTCAGGTTCAGATTCTGATGGTCTCATGATAGACAGACAGCAGGGAATCAAGCAGGTTAAAGGTGGCTATTCAGTGAAAGGAAAACTTGCATCTTTAAGTGAAAGTAATAGGCTTCCCTCATTAAGTGGAAATAATGATGCACATGCCCTGAATTCTAAGAGATTGAACATGAGCATTGAAAGAGAAAGTAATGTCGAAGGTGAAGGGTTGTCAGATCAGAGACTGTTTTCTTGTGTTACATGTGGAATTTTGAGCTTTGCTTGTGTTGCTATAATTCAACCAACAGAAGCAGCAGCCAGATATCTAATGTCAGCAGATCGTAGCTTTTTCAGTGATTGGGTTGGATCTGGATTAGCTGGTGAGGTGTTCCAGGTTGCAAATGAAGATCCAATCACTTCAAAGAATGATCCTTGCACAGGTTGGTTCCATCTGGAAATGTTCTTCTATTGTTGGTTCCATCTTGAAATATTCTTCTATTGTTGTTTGTCAGCCTTTTGATATGATTTGACAGTATGGTCCTGTTTTATATCAGGAACCATTAGTACTGTAACGACTGTTCCACTGAATCCTTGATAAATGCAGCATCTGAACTAAGGCAAACTCAGCATTAAATTGCACTTTTCTATAAATTTCTGTTTGTTCAAAATTAAGAGTGAGCCCTGGCTTTCCCCTTGGCTTATGCAATCATATGAATGAAATGTCCCACTTACATTTATTATTATACACAGGCTCTTGTTAAAAAGCATCCATTATTTACACCTAGGTCCAATCAGGCTGCACATGCCTTATTTTTCAATCTGACTATTTAGGCAATCCCTAAAGCTGTTATTTTGTGTGCATATTTGAAGATGAGCAGTGTTTGAGTTTCTAAATACATTTGACCGGCATATCATTCTTTGTCACATCTGGGAAAGGCTTCCTGTATTCCCATATATAAAGGTTCTAGTTTGCCTTAATGGAATTCAAGTTTTGAACGTTTATACACTTATGTCTCCAAAAACAGGATTGGTGGAAAACAATGCCCCTGCTGGTTTATATGATGTGCCTGTTCAATCTGCTGATTATCAAATTCAGAGAGGAGATCAAAGTAATAAACCCGTTTCAAATACTGAAATGCAGAGAGATACTTCAGCTCTTGGGCTATTAGCTTTGAACTATGGAAATTCGTCTGACTCGGAGGAAGATCAACTTGCACCAGATGTTCCTGTTTGTTGTGATGAAACGAACACGACAAACTGTTCTTTTGAAAGTAGATATGATTACCAGAGTGCTAGTCCTTCTCCTTTAAGAGACTCTTATGGTGGTACAACTGAGGCTCACAGTCCCCCATCACCAGGATTTGATTGTGGGAATGAATTTCCTCTCCGAAGCCCTGATCACTGTGCGAGAGATGGACGTAAAATAGCTAATTTCAAGGATAGCAGCTATCAAAATTTTGATTTCTCAGCTGATTGTAAAAATAATTCTGCTTCCACAAAGACAAATGGTTTGGTGGGTACATCTATGGATCCAATGAAGCTTTCACATTCTTGCTCCCCAGATGCTCATCGGCCTCAAACAACAGAATTGTCCAAGGTCACTTTACCCATAGAAACCACAAATACAGCGTTTCCTCCAGGATGCGATGAAGACTCTTCCAGAATGCATGTCTTCTGCCTTGAGCATGCTATAGAGGTCGAACAGCAGCTTCGTTCAATTGGAGGTGTCCATATATTTCTCCTTTGTCATCCAGGTGTGTTGTTGCCCTAGAAGTTCATATGATATGTGTATGCACTTTCTTTTCTTATTTCTTTCATGATCTTTTCAACTGTGTTCTTTACATCATTGAAAGTTCTTTGTTTAGCAAAAATCATTGATTCGTTGAAAATGAATACAGATGGTATGTGTAGAGTTATGTTTTTTTTTTTGTTCATTTTATACTATTGTCGGTATACCTTTTCATGGTTTTTCTAGGTGCTATCTCACTAATATGTTAAGACGATACAGACTTCATATGTCAGCCATGATGTGTCAATAGTATTCCCTATGATTGGTGGAATTAGTTTTATGAAATGATTGCATGAAGGAGAAACATATGATACATGTTGTTTACATTGTTCTTTACACCAAGAAGTTCTTCAGCTGTTTTTTTTCCACTTGTCTTGGATCTTTCAAAATATTAAGTAACTAATACCGTTTATGCCTATCATTTATCCTGTAATTATTCCTCTGATTACCAATAAAAACATTTGCAGACTACCCGAGGATAGAGGATGAAGCAAAATTAATGGCAGAAGAACTGGGAATAAGTTATCTCTGGAATGAAACGACGTTCAGGGATGCCACTGAGGAAGATGAGAAGAGAATTCAGTCAGCTCTGGATAGTGAGGAAGCCATTGCGGGGAATGGGGACTGGGCTGTAAAGTTAGGGATCAATCTCTTCTACAGTGCCAGCCTTAGCCGTTCTCATCTTTACAGTAAGCAGATGGCATACAATTCTGTTATATACAATGCATTTGGTCGTAGTTCTCCAGCTAGCTCGCCCACAAGAACTGATGTCTATGGGAGGAGATCTGGCAAGCAGAAAAAGGTAGTGGCAGGGAAATGGTGTGGTAAAGTCTGGATGTCAAATCAAGTTCATCCCTATCTAGCAAAAAGGGACCCTGAAGAAGAAGAAGAAGTTGTAGAAGAAGAACATAGGAGCTTCCATGCTTGGGCAATGCCAGATGAGAAGCTTGAGGGACAACCAGAAAGCACACGCAAAACTGAGAACACCTTGGTGACAAAAAAATATGCTAGGAAGAGGAAAATGACTGCAGAGACCGGGACAACGAAGAAAGTAAAATGTTTGGAGAAAGAAGATGCAGTTTCAGATTATTCAGTAGATGATAACTCTCATCAGCAGCAGAGGAGGTTTCCTAAGAGCAAGCAAGCTGAATATATTGAGAGTGGTCCAACCAAGAAAGCCAAGTTTGTTCAGACTGAATTTACTCTTTCAGATGATTCAATGCAAGATGATTCTCATCAGCCAGATGGTAGAAATTTTCGGTGTGAGCAAGCCAATTATATTGAGGGAAATGATGTTTCAGATGATTCAGTGGGAGTTGAATCTCATCAGCAGCATAGGAGGAGTGCTAAAAGTAAGCAAGCCAAACATATGGAAAGAGATGTGGTTTCAGATGATTCAGTTGAGGGTAGTTCTCGTCGGCAGCATGGGAGGGTCCTTAGAAGCAAGACAGCTAAGGGTGAAACAGATAATTTTCACAAGGCTAGTTCTCATCAAGAACGAGGGAGTATTTCTAAAAGCAAGCAGGCCAGATTCATTGAGAGAGATGATGCAGCTGTGGGTGAAACAGATAATTTTCTTCAGCAGCACAAGAGGATTCTCCGAAGCAAGCAAACGCAACAAGAGACCCTTCAGAAAATGAGACGAGAAACCCCTCGGCAAGTGAAACAAGGAACTGCTCCTCTTGTGAAACAAGGCACCCGCACTCTAAGAAAGCAACAAACTGCTCAGCAAATGAAGCAACAGACACCTAGGCTCCGAAATAATCAATCTGAGCAGAACTTTGATTTGTATGCTGACGAGGGGGCAGAAGGCGGACCTAGCACACGCCTTAGAAAAAGAGCTCCTAAGCCTATTAAAGTCTCTGGAACCAAACCAAAAGAGCAGCAACAAACGGCTAGGAAAAAGGCAAAGAATGTTTCAGCTGTGAAGGCTCAGGCTGGCCAAAATGATGCAAAATTGAGGGAAGAGGAAGCAGAATTCTCGTGTGATATTGATGGGTGCACCATGAGTCTAGGCTCGAAACAAGAGCTTGCCCTCCACAAAAGAAACATATGTCCAGTCAAGGGGTGTGGAAAGAAATTCTTCTCTCACAAGTATCTGGTGCAACATCGTCGAGTTCACATGGATGACCGCCCCCTTCGGTGCCCTTGGAAGGGCTGCAAGATGACATTCAAGTGGGCATGGGCTCGGACTGAGCACATTAGGGTTCACACAGGTGCTCGTCCCTATGTATGTGCTGAGCCAGGGTGTGGGCAGACCTTCCGATTTGTCTCAGATTTCAGCCGCCATAAGCGGAAGACTGGACATTCAGCAAAGAAAAGTAGGGGATGACTTGCTGATGGAAGGAAGACAGATGTAATCATGTAGCATGACTAATGAATCTGTTGTTCAATTGACAAATTAGTGGTAGGTGAAGGATAGGGCTAGGATTTCCCCTGTAATTGCAATTCAGAGTAACAATTCATTCTGATTTTCCTCGGGCCTTTATTTGACCCATCCATTTACTCCAACAAGAGAGCAATTGCTTGGATACATTTTTCTCTTTTAAGTGTCAAATGCTAATTTTATTTTAGTTCACTCTTAAATGCTAATCTCATTCAATGCCTCTTTGCAAATTACTGCAAATGATCAGCATATAGGACATTGGTTGTAGGCTTCTGTTCACAAATCCCAGGCTCAAGAGAGGTTATATTGCCGGATCTAGATAGTAGTTATGTGCTATGTATTTATATGAATGCCCGAGTAGTTTTCTTGCTTTCTCAAAATAAATTAACATGTAATGTTGTTAGACAACCGATGTAATGTTGTTAGACAACCGATATTGATGTAATGTTGTTAGACAACCGATATTAATCATTTTACTGCATAACCGATATTGATGTAATGTTGTTAGACAACCGATATTAATCATTTTACTGCATAACCTTTTAGTGAATGTATGATTCAAATTCACGATTTCACAACTGAATATATACATAATCTTCATAACAAGGAGAAAACTTGTACTGTCTTGGTACCTCTATGGAGTAACTTGCTTGGATGACGGACTGATTGTTGACCATGGATCTAAGTTGAGCCTCCACGATGCATCTACCATTAGGAATCGCTCATTGACTTGCGCGCCCATGTCCAATTGATTTACCATTAGCAATCTCTCACTGACTTAAGCTCACGCAGGATGGACCGTAGCGAAATACCTTTTATACATGTATTTGTACAATGACATCATTGTAGAACAAACCCAATAACATACCACTTCTCAAGGGCTCTCTTGTCAAATGAAGAATCCATGCCATGTGACAACATGTGATATGATAATGATGTGATGCTGTGCCCGTGAGACAGAGTCAGATCCCCTGATAAAAACGACATGTCGATTCGGCCAAAATATGAAGGGAAAAAAAAACGCCAAAAAGAAAAAAGAGCTGGTATTAAATTAATGACTGCAGTCCAACACACTGTACAGATTTAACAATAACGTGTCATTCATTGCGTTGTTTGTCTATCCCCCAAAAAAGCTCAGAACTCCAAAAGCGTTTTATCAGCCAAAAAATCAAAAAATCTCCCAAAAGCGTTTTTTACACACCAACTAACCCCTCTCTCTCTCTCTCTCTCTCTCTCTCTCTGTGTCAAACAGAGTCAGTTCATTTTCCTCTTATTTTTCAGAGATTTAGGGTTTTGAAATGTGAAGGGAGAATGGAAGTCTCTGAAGCTATCTCTGTTCCCCAAAATCTCGATGCCAACAACCACCACATCGATGAGCACCACCAACCCAGCCATTCCGAACTAGGGTTTTTGCCTTCTTCCCCCGATCCCGATCCTGCACCGTCTGATTTCGATCATGCGGTCCCTGATGAGCTTCAGAAGCTGGATTTGAAGGAGAAGGAGGAGGAGGAGGAGGAGGAGGAGGAGGAGGATCACCTTGATGAGTTTCAGAAACTGGATTTGAAAGAGGACTAGGATGCTAAAGAAGAAGAAGAAGAAGAAGAAGAGGATGTAGAGAAGAAGAGTTCTAATGGGCCAGAAACTGAAAATGAAAACGAAAACGAAAATGAAAGTGAGAGGCAGAGTGAACAAAGCGATGGAGGAGAAAATCAGAGTGAGGATGGTGGTGATGCAGAGAAGAAGGCCGAGGAAAGTAGAAGAAGATATCAGTACCCAGTGAGGCCTGAAGCTGAAGACTGTTCTTATTATCTGAAGACCGGGTCTTGTAAGTTTGGGTCCAATTGCAAATTTAATCACCCTGTCAAAAGGAAGGTATAGCTGTTCTCTTTCGCCTTTAGCATATGCATATGCGGTTGAAAGATTGGAACCCTTTGTTTATGTTTGCCCAGCTTCAGTTATTTTCAGCTCAACTGCTGCCGGAAAGCCATGTTGTGTTTGCATTTTATTGCCTGTTGCTTATGGTTGTAGCTGAAAACAAACATTTTGTTGGTGAAATTATTGTGTCAAACAAATAGCGACCTTTGGTTGGATTAGTGTTGAAATGTTAATGTTTCTAGCCTTTTACGACTGGAATATCTCTACTATGTTTTCTCACTCTGTTGGTGTTTTGTTTTTTGTCATATTGAAGGGGTCTAAGGACAAGGTGAAGGAAAGGGAAGAGTTTGGAGATAAGACAGGCCAGACAGAATGCAAGGTTATTAGTGTTGTGATATTAAGGAACTCTTATGGGTTTTGCTGTAATTGAACATGTCTGAAATCGTTTTTGCTTTAGTTCATGTATTTGGTATCTATTTTCTTAATATTCAGTGTTATGGTGATGTATTTTCTGAGTCTGGGTTATCTGAAAGTTAGGCCGGCATGCATAACCAAATAAATAATCTAAAATCTTTTATCTTGTAGCGGAATACAGAATCCCTAGGTCTTGAACTTTATTTGTCCATATATATGGGACGGTGAGTCATCTGCTTTGACCAACCTATATAGTAAGTAACTAGTTAGCTAGTTTCTAGTGGATATTCTTTCATGAAAATTGTATGTTTTTTTTATGACAGTCACTTATTCCTATTCATATAGTAATTGCATTTATGTTTCAGATGTCAATGACAATACTTTCCTTTTTACCTTATCTTCAAATGGTGGACTAGTAACAGTTTCATGATGTTATAACACTTGAGCTTGTTGCAGTATTACTTGAGGTCAGGCGGATGTAAGTATGGAAAAGCTTGTAGATACAGCCACAGCAAAGGCAAACCTTCTGTGGCTCCAGTTGTAGAGCTAAACTTTCTGGGTCTGCCAATTCGACCGGTATAAATTACAGATTTAATCCACAAAATTTTAAAAGTGAATATCTATTCATGATTTTTATGAATTATGATTTTATCTTTGCTTATCCTCTTTGTTGGTTGGAGCTATTATCACATCTCAGCCAGTTACTATGAATATTTACTTTAACTTGTTACAGGGGGAGAGAGAGTGTCCCTACTATATGCGAAACGGATCCTGCAAGTATGCATCGAACTGCAGGTTTAACCACCCTGATCCTACAGCTGCCGGAGGATCTGATCCAGCGTCCGCATTTGGTAATGGTGGCCCTGCATCCTTGCAAGGTGCGCCACAATCAACAGTAGCCCCTTGGTCTGCACCAAGATCATTGAATGAGACTCCACGTTACATGCCAATGATGATTCCACCATCTCAAGGGGTTCCTTCCCAAAATACAGAATGGAATGGTTATCAGGTACATTAACATCACTTTGATATACCAATTAACAGTTTTCAGGTATTAGAAAGCAAGATCTTTTTGTATGTTAACTTTTTTTTTTCCATGTTCTTTTTCATTCATTTCTGTCTCAGAAAACTAATAATATGCCCATGAACGGATGCTATAAATGTGTTTAATTGTTGACATCTCTGCATTCAGAACTTGTTAATTAGCATTGTTTTATTTTTTGCATGTTCAGGCCCCAGCATATCTACCAGAAAGAAGCATGCCTGCACGTCAACCATATCTTATGAACAACTCAATGACTGAAACCAACATCTATAAACAATACCCACAGCACCAGCAAGCTGAAGAATTCCCGGAAAGACCTGGCCAACCTTTTTGCAGTTATTTCTTAAGAACCGGTGATTGTAAGTTTAAATCTAACTGCAAATATCACCATCCGAAAACTCAGACTGCAGTATCCCCCCAATGTGCGCTTAGTGACAAGGGCCTCCCTTTGAGACCGGTAAGTTCACCCTTCTTTTGACCGTGCGTTTTGCAATCAGTTCATAATATTAGAATATAATCTTAGAAAGGTTTTTTTTCACTTTGTTGATACACGGATGAAAAACAGATGAAATGCTATTGAAAGGTTTTTCTCCTGAATCATAAAGATTCTTGACTAGCTGTACCTCTCTCCTCATCTGTATGAGAACCTCAGTTCAATCACATATTATGTTTCATGATTGCATGCCATTGATTACTCCTAAATTTGTTTTTCAAAATCCAGGATCAGAACATTTGCACACATTACAGTCGCTATGGCATTTGCAAATTTGGGCCAGTGTGTAAATTTGACCATCCGTTAAATATAACATCTTCAACTACATCTGGTCCTGATCATCAACTTCCTTTCAGTGACTCGGCGACTATGAATGGGGCTGGAACAGCTGGGAGCAGAAGTGGAAGTGAAGCTACAAGTCAGCTGCAGCCTGTGTAATAATTTTTGCTCAGGATTCGCAACATGCAATCTTTTTCTTGTTTTAGTTTATAAAACAGTGCTATCGAACTTTTCCACCCACCCACCCAAATGCCGCAATCGTGTTAATGGAAACAGGACGTGTAAATTGTTTCTTATTTATGTCACTTTACCAGAAAATACGAGTTTAATTGCGAATTATTCCCTCAATTTCTCAAATTTGCGTTTGATGCCCTCATTCCAAGAGTATCTTTAATTTGCCATGAATCAAACTTGTGGAGACGTTTTATTTTATGCATTGGCTATCGTCTTGCATTTAACATAGATTAAATGTGTAAATAATCTCACCAATAAAAAAGACAAAATCATGTTCACAAAACCTGCCAAGTATGAATTTTCCTAAACATGTGGGTCAAGGCATCGGAGGAAGATGTGAGAGAGAGAGAGAGAGAGGAAGTAGACTGAGACTCCCCAGAAATAAGGGAATTTTTCACAAGCTCTCTTCCTGTTTGGTGCAGAAAAACTTGTGTGAAATTGGGATATCACTGTTTTGCTATTCCAACTAATCACAATGTGCGAAGTGGAAATGGTGTTATTCTCCCAATCACGGTAAGCCAAATGGAAAGGTTATCAAGCCCGTTCATTCAAGTGTTTCTCCTATTGGTAGGACTGGGAGAGTTGAAATGCGCTTTAAGCATGAAAAGCAAAAAACAAGAACAGGTGATATACATGGATAAACAATGCAAATTGCAAAACCCAGCCAAGGGCATTATCATGGGAAAATCTCCACTTTTCTCAAAAGCATCTTTACAACGCAAACAGTACCTGGTTCTGCTTCTGCTTCGCATAGGAAAAAGCAGATGACTTTGACTTTACCAATCAAAACACTAGCAGACCCAATTTCCACAAGCCAAAACTGTAAAGGAAAGGAAGCAAGAAAGCAAACCCAAATTTGATTGAGTTGCAGGCAGCTCAAAAACTCAATGCCCTACTGGTGGTCAGATAGATGGAGTGAGGATGCATGACTGGCACTGCTGGGTGCAACCATAATGTACCTGCTAGCAACCCAGTTTCATCCATCACCATTGATTCATTCGCAAAAACACGATCAGGATGTTGCCAGCCGCACGCCTCCTACTACCAGTCTCAGTGTCAGTGCTTTACGTACTTTACAAGTATCTGAGATCTGGAAGGGTAACAGAGCTCTCTGAAGACATCGCGGTTCCCCTAAATCCCGATAACAACGACGTCGTTTCTCGCCAACCGTCCCATCTCGATCCTGCCATCCTTGAAGAGATTCGGAAATTCGAACCTGCCGTCCTCGATGAGTTTCGGAAATTCGACCCGGCCCTCCTTGATGAGTTTCGGAAATTCGACCCCGCCGCCCTCGATGAGAAGCGGAGATTCGACCCTGCTGCCCTTGATGTGATTCGGAAACTCGATCCTGCCATCATTGATCAGATTCATAAATTGTGTGTGAAAGAAAAGGTGGAAGGTAAAGAAGAGGCCGAGAGGAATTGTAGTGGGCGCGAAAATGAAAACGGAAACGGAAATGAAAATGGAAACGAGACACAGAGCGAAGAGAGCGGTGGAGGAGGAGGAGAAAATAAGAATGAGAATGGTGGTGAGGTGGAGAAGAAGGTTGTTAGTGAGGAAAGAAGCAGAAGGCATCATTACCCAGTGAGGCCTGAAGCTGGAGATTGTTCTTTTTATCTAAAGACTGGGACTTGTAAGTTTGGCTCCAATTGCAAGTTTAATCACCCTCGTAGAAGGAAAACCAATAAGGTATACCTCCCTTCTTTTTCCTTCATCATCATTTGCATATGTATGTTTGTGGTGAAAGATTGAGACTTTTTATGTTTGCCTGGCCTCAGTTATCATTATTTCAGCTGAGAAGCCATGCCTATGTTTGCCCGGCCTCAGTTAGTGTATAATATGTATGTATGCATTTGCTATAATGTATTTATCGGTTAGTATATTATGCTGTGATGATGATTTTTGTCAGCGGAATTGACTCGAAATGAAGGGACGCACCACTTTCGTATTTGCTTAAAATGATATTGCCGTAGAAGAGATTTTGCGGTGATTCAAAGCTAAAAGCCTGAAACTGGCTTTGTTCTTCTTTTTTCTTTTGGTCAAACTGGCTTTTTTCTTTACATGCATGTTTGTGGTGAAATTTGTTGTGCTTGTGCCAGAGAAATGGGGACTTTGGGTCTCCCTTGGTGTTTGAAACGTTAATGTTTCTGGCCTAATATGATTGCAGGAAATATTTCTGTTGTCAGTGCTCACTTTCTGTTTGTTGGTGTTTTGAAATTCATCATATTAATTGAAGGTGTCTAAGGTCAAGATGAAGGAAAGGGAGGCGTTGGCAGCAGAGAAGCCAGGCCTGACAGAATCCAAGGTTATTTTCTTTATGATTCTCAGAAACTTTCTATCTGAAGTTATGGTTTTTACTGCAATTGTTTGTTCCTCATGTCTAGATTTTGTTTTACTTCATACATTTGATATTAAGTAGTATCTCAGTTTTTTTGTGTTTTGATGATGGGGTTTCAGGGTTTGGTTATCTGAAAGTAAGTAGGTTAGCATACATAATTGAATAAATAAGCTAACACCTTTTTATCTTTTTTATAAGTACAGAATCATTAGGTCTTGAACATATTTGTTCATATTGTTTGGGCAGGTGAGTCATCTGTTTTGAAGAACATATAATAACTAGTTAGTTAATTTATTAGTGGATGTGTTTTTACGACAAATGTTTGCTGTTTCATGACAATCAGCTATTCCTTTTTTATACAGTGATTACAATTATGTTCTGTCAATGACAATTCTTTCCCATTGTACCTTATATTGAAATCTGTGCAATGCACATGGTGGACTAGTAGCAGTTTCATGATGTTATGACACTTGAACTTGTTGCAGGATTACTCCAGGTCAGGAGGATGTAAATATGAAAAAGCTTGTAGTTTCAATCCCAGAAGAGAGGAATCTTCCGTAGCTCCAATTCTAGAATGTAACTTTCTGGGCCTGCCAATTCGGCCGGTATGAATTCTAGGTTTGATCTGCAAAATTTTGAGGAATGAATATCTATTCATGATGTTTAAGATTTATGATTTATCTTTGCTTATTTTATTGGTCTGCTACCTGAATATTTATTTTAACTTGTTACAGGGGGAGAAAGACTGTTCCTTCTATATGCGAAATGCCTCCTGCATGTTTGGTACAAACTGCAGGTTTAATCACCCTGATCCTACAGCTGCAAGAGAATCTGAACTCCCATCTGGATATGGTAATGGCGGATCTGCATCATTACAAGGTGCATTGTCATCAACAGCAGCACCATGGTCTGCACCAAGATCATTGAATGATGCTCCGCTTTATGTGCCAATGGTGATTCCGCCATCTCAAGGGATTCCTTCCCAAGATACAGAATGGAATGGTTATCAGGTACTTTTTTTCCTTCACTCTCATGTTGTAGTCTTCAGTTTGAGTAACTGTCATCACTTTGATACACCAATTAACATTTTTTAAGGGATAAGGTTTCAAATAAAATCATTTTTGTGTTAACCTTTTTGTTATATGTTATTTTTATTCATTTTTCTCATGAAACTAATATGACCTACCTCTCTCTCTGTCTCTCTGGCATTCAACTAGTAATAGAACTACTACTGTTCTCTTTTGCATTTTCGCATACATGCTTTTACCTTCGGTTTTTTTTGGTTCTGCCATATTTAGGCTCTAGAATATCTTCCAGAAAGAAGCGTGCCTACACATCCACCCATATGTTATGAACCAATCAGTCACTGAAACCAACCACTACGAACAACATCCACAGCAGAAGCAAGTTGAAGAACTCGACCTGGGCAACCTGTTTGCATTTACTTCTCAAGAACGGGGGATTTTAAGTTTAGGGGATGTATTCAATTGAGATTTTAAAATATTTTAAAGAAGTTTAAAAGTTCAGGTGGTAGAAGTTTATAAAATTATGGGTGAATTCAATCCAAACTTTTAAATTCCATCCAAATTTGGATGTAGTAGATTTTAAAAGACTCCATAAAAGTTTGGGTGTATTAAAAAAACTCATTGATTTTAAAGGAAATACAAAAAGTGGTGGATTTTGATTGATTCTAGACTAATTTTAGGCCATGACAAATCTTTGCTCCCCCTCGAAGATTTTGATAGTCAAGATACAATTTCACCGCCTCTATTACCACCATCTTGTCATGGCTATCACCACCACGGTAGCCCCCAATGCGGCCACTATCGCCACCACCGCAACCACCCTCAACGCCACAGTCACCTTCTCCCCAGCGCCACAACCATCTCCCAACCGCCGCCACCCCCACATATTAGGTTCTTGTTTCATGCCATTGGTCACACAAATTTTGTTCTAAATTTGTTTCAAATCCCAGGGCCATAACATTTGCACACAATATTCCCAGGGCCATAAATTTGTTACAAATTTTGAAAAAGAAAGCAAGATCTCTTTGTATGTTAACTTTGTTCTTTCTGACCATGTTCTTTTTCATTCATTTCTGGCTCAGAAAACTAATGTTCCGATGCACGGATGCTATAAGTTTGTGAAAATTGACAATACTTTGAACAAATTGCTGTCTGCACTAGTAATTTGTTTAGTTGTTGACATCTGTGTCTTCAGAACATGTTAATTGGCATCCCTATTAGTTTTTGGGATTCATATTGTTAATTGGCATTTCCTGTTGTTTTACTTTAGCATGTTCAGGCTCCAGCATATCTACAAGAAAGAAGCATGCCCGCACATCAACCTTATCTTATGAACAACTCAGTGACTGGGACCAACGTCTATAAACAATACCCACACCAGCAAGCTGAAGAATTCCCAGAAAGACCTGGCCAACTTGTTTGCAGTTATTTCTTAAGAACGGGTGATTGTAAGTTTAAATCCAACTGCAAGTTTCACCATCCGAAAGCCCAGACTGCAGTATCCCCCTCATGCACCCTTTGAGACCAGTAAGTTCACTCTTCTCTCGACCGTGCTTTTTGCAATCAGTTCATAATTTTGGAATATGATTTTAGAAAGGATTTTTCACTTTGTGACACATGGGAAAAACAGATGAAAATGCTATTGAAAGGATATTTGCTGCTCTTGAATCATAAAGATTCTTGACCACCTGTACCTCTCCCCTCTTCTGTATAAGAACCTCAGTTTGATCACATAGCATGCCATTGATCGCGCAAAATTTGATCCTAAATTTGTTTTTCAAAATCCAGGATCAGAACATTTGCACACATTACATTCGCTGTGGGCATTTGTAAATTTGGGCCAGCTTGTAAATTTGACCATCCGTTAAATATAACATCTTCAACTACATCTGGTCCTGATCATCAACATTCTTTCAGTGACTCGGCGACTACAAATGGGGCTGGAAGTGTTACTGATGCTACAAGTCAGCCGCAGCCTCTGTGATAAGTTTTGCGCAGGATTCGCCATCACCAAGCACATGCAATCTTTTTGTTCTGTTAATTTAATCTTAGAAATGTATCAAACTTTTCCACCCAGATGCCGCAATGTTGTTAGATGTGAGAACTCTATGGAAACGGGACGTGTAAATTATTTCTTATTGATGTCGTTTTACCAGAAAATACAAGTTTAATTGGTAATATGCTCTCAAGGGCCGTTTGATAACTATTTCAATTTTAGTTTTTAGTTTTTATTTTTTGTGCTAGATTATAGAGAAAAATGAGAGTGAGGATGATATTGAGAGAGGATGAGAGGAAGGACTAACAAAAGTGAAAACAATTTGAAATAGATTTCAGTTTTTAGTTTTTGTTACTCCTCCTTCACATCCCCTCCTTTCCCTCTCAATCATATCTTCACTTTCACTTTCATTCTCATTTTTCCTCTATATTCTAGTACAAAAAATGAAAACTAAAAACTAAAATTGAAATAGTTATTAAACGGGCTCTAAATTTTGCGTTTTTTGTCGTTCTATTTCCGAGAGTATATTCAATTTGGGTTGGTGAATGATCTCACTTAAAAGACGTATTTGCGTTGACCACTCAACTCCACGGCCTTGTTGTATATAACATTGATTAAATGTGTATACTACATATAATCTTACCGATAAAACCAGCTAAGTATGATTACACATGTGGGTCATGACATCCTGAAAAGAAGATTAAAATAATACATTTGCCACAAAAGGAGATGCGCGCTGATTCGTAGAGAATTGACTGTGAGACTACTCTCCCTTGAAATAAGTTGGATTCCTATGTTTTTTGCACAAGCTCTGTTCCTGGTGAAATTTTGTAAACGGGTATCATGGAAGAGAGCCTCCACTTTTCCAAAAGCAGCTTTGAAACTGAAAAGCAACCCAAAAATCCCTGCTTCCGCTTCTGATTCTGCTGCTCTTTGAAAACAGTAGGAGACCCAATTTCCACCACCACAAGTCAAAACTGAAATCCGATTGAGTTGCATGCAGCTCCTCAAACTCCTGTGATCAGATTCAGATGAGTGAGTTGGTAGTTGGTAGTTGCCATGCTAAGTTGACAGCAAACAAACCCAGCAACCCAGCTTCACTTCATCCATCACTGATAATTAATTAATTAATTAATTCTCAAAGTACGATCAGCACAAGCAGGCACCGGTGATGTTGCCATCCGCTCGTCTCCTACTACCAGCAGCAGCAGCGGCAGCCCCAGTGCTTTACAGATTTTATAAGTATTTGAGAGATGAAGTCATCAGGGTTCCCCAAAATCCTCCGGAACTGTCTGATCTTGATCTTGCCATCCTTGAAGAGATTCGGAAACTCGGCCCCGCCCTCCTTGATAAGATTCTCAAGGACCCCGCCCTCCTTGATGAGTTTCGGAAAATCGACCCCGCCGTCCTCCATGAGTTTCGGAAACACGATCCTGCCATCATTGGCAAGATACTTCAATCCTGTTTGAAAGACAACAAGGAAGGTGAAAAAGAGGCGGACAGGAGTACTTGTAGCGGGCGCGAAACTGCAAAAGAAAACGAAAATGGAAACGAAGAGACGGATGGAGGAGGAGGAGAAAATAAGAATGAGAATGGCGGTGAGGTGGAGAAGAAGGTTGTTGATAAAGAAAGAAGCAGAAGCCAGCATTACCCAGTGAGGCCTGGAGCTGGAAAAGGAAAAACAGCAAGGAAAAACAGAAAAAACAATCAGGTATATCTCTCTTCTTTTTCCTTCAGCATTTGCATATGTATGTTTATGGTTGGAAGATTGAGACTTTTTATCATATTAATTGAAGGTGTCCAAGGACAAGATGAAGGAAAGGGAAGGGTTGGCAGCAGAGAAGCCAGGCCAGGCAGAATCCAAGGTTATTTTCGTTATGATTTCTCAGAAACTTTCTATCTCAGGTTATGGTCTTTACTGCAATTGTTTGTTCCTCATGTCTAGATTTTGTTTTACTTCATATATTTGGTATTAAGTAGTATCTCACTTTTTTATGTTTTGATGATGGGTATAACACTTGAGCTTGTTGCAGGATTATTCCAGGTCAGGAGGACGTAAGTGTGAAAAAGCTTGTAGTTTAAATCCCGGAAGAGGGGAACCTTCTGTAGCTCCAATTCTAGAATGTAACTTTCTGGGCCTGCCAATTCGGCCGGTATGAATTCTAGGTTTGATCTGCAAAATTTTGAGGAATGAATATCTATTCATGATGTTTAAGATTTATGATTTATCTTTGCTTATTTTATTGGTCTGCTACCTGAATATTTATTTTAACTTGTTACAGGGGGAGAAAGACTGTTCCTTCTATATGCGAAATGCCTCCTGCATGTTTGGTACAAACTGCAGGTTTAATCACCCTGATCCTACAGCTGTAAGAGAATCTGAACCCCCATCTGGATATGGTAATGGCGGATCTGCATCATTACAAGGTGCATCGTCATCAACAGCAGCACCATGGTCTGCACCAAGATCATTGAATGATGCTCCGCTTTATGTGCCAATGGTGATTCCGCATGTTCAGATAGGAAGCTGGGGTAATGCAGATGGGGTTTGGGCCCAATCAGAGGCAGGAAACAAAGATGAAGCTAGTGGCTGGACAAAACCTGCTTTTATTAATGAGAATCAGAATGACAGTTGTAAGAAACCAAGTGGTGTAGATGACAATAAAAGAGCTTCCTGGGGTAAAGCAGATGGAGGTTCTACTTGGACTAAACAAGATGGTGATGCTACATGGAATAAACAAGGTGAAGATTCTACTAGGAATAAACAAGATAGCAGTTCTGCTTGGAATAAACCAGCAGGAGATTCTTCTTGGAGTAAACAAGCTGGAGGGTCTTCATGGTGTAAACAAGCTGATGTAACAGCAGGACATGAGTCTGGCGGAGTGGGGAATCAAGATAATGGTTGGAAGAGAGCAAGTTCTTTTGGTGGCAGTCAATCAATAGATGGTGTGAATGGAGACCAACCTGAGGATTTCAATAATAATCGAAGTGGTGGGAATTGGAGAGGTGGTTCAGGTAGAGGAAATTCAGACAGAGGAGGTTTTAGAGGTGGACGGGGTTTTGTAGGTAGAGGTGGTGATAGAGAGGAGGATAGAGGGGGTTTTGGACGTAGATGGGGTTTTGGTGGTAGAGGTAGAGACAGAGGGAGCTTTGGTGGTAGAGGTAGATCAGACAAAGGAGGGTTTGGTGGTAGAGGCTATGGAGGAAGAGGCCGTGGGGGGTATCAAAGTGGTGGTTGGAGCAATAGAAATGAATCTATTGATAATAACTCATCAGGCTGGAGCAAAGGGGCAGACGGTGCTGGCGAGGGATGGAAAAGGGACAATGGTGGAGGAAGTTGGAACCAAGGAGGTGGCAGTAAGAACGATTGGCAGGGTAGGAACTCTAGCGGATGGAGTAGCCAGAGCTCCGGTTGGAACCAGTCTGATGTGACTAAAGGAATTGGTGGTTCGGGATCAGGTTGGAATCAGACAGTGGAGGCAAAATATACTGCTGGCACTCAGGACAAGGGAACAGGTTCTCATAATGAAATGGGCAGAAGCTGGGGAAACAATTGGAAATCATCAGATGCTTCTAATGGGGACCAATCGTCTAGGTGGAAACAATCGACTGCAGCCAAAGAAGTCAAAGGAAACACTGATCAAGACGGCGGCCGGAACAAGGGACCGAGCTCAAACGCACAAGCTGGAGGCTGGGGCAACCAGGGTTCAGGTTGGAACAAAGGAACGGGTTCAGGATTTGGAGGCGGTACCGGAGAGCAACCAAGTGCTGCTGTTGGAGGTCAATCATCTGACTGGAAGCAATCAAGTGCTGCAAGCGGGGCTCAATCCTCTAGTTGGAATCAATCTGGTGAGGCAAAACAAGGAACTGATGAAGGTGCAAAACCGACTAATTCATGGGGCAAAGCAGCAGCAGCAAGCTCTTGGGGCAAGAGTTCTGATGGTGGAAGTAGCAAAGGAGGGTGGTGATCAAATCACCTCCTCAAATAATTAGGGGTTTAACTTAAATGGTGTAGATACTGCTTTGTCTTTTGCAGAGCTAGAAGGATCTTAACTTAAATCCCCGTATCTATTGACAATGGTTGAAATTTTGGATGAACCCCAATCTTGGCTAAACTATCCCTTTGTCAACGTTCAAGCTTTTCTTAAAAAAGATGATGATTCCACCATATCAAAGGGATTCCTTCCTAAAATACAGAATGGAATGGTTCAGGTACTTTTATTCATCACTCCCATATTATAGTCTTCAGTTTGACTAACTATCCTCACTTTGATACACCAATTAACATTTCTTAAGGGATAAGATTTCAAATAAATCTTTTTTGTGTTAACCTTTTTGTTCTATGTTAATTTTTTTTTTCATTTTTCTCATGAAACTAGTAATATGACCTCTCTCTCTCTCTCTCTCTCTCTCTCTCTCTCTCTCATGCATTCAACTAGTATAATAGGAGTACTACTGTTCTCTTTCTCACTTTCGCATACATGGTTTTCCCTTCAAATTTTTTTGGTTGTGCCATGTTTAGGCTCCAGAATATCTACCAGAAAGAATCTTGCCTGCAACTTGCCTATGTTATGAATCACTCAGTCACTGAGACCAACGCCTATGAACAACATCCACAGCAGAAGCAAATTGAAGATCTCCCAGAACGACCTGGGTGACATGTTCGCAATTATTTCTCAAGAACAGGGGATTCCAAGCATAAATCTAAGTGCAAATATCAATATCCAAACAATCACACTGCAGTGTCCCCCTCATGGGCACTGAGTGACAAGGGCCTCCCTTTGGGACCAGTAAGTTCACTCTTCTCTGAATTGTGCTTTTTAAAGTGAATGCATAATTATGGAACATGATCCAACAAGTACCTGTTGCACAATTTTTTTTGTTTTTAAACACGGAATAATTGGACAATTCAAAATTTTGCAAGTTGTTATATTCCTTTGGATAAATCAGCAATGTGCCACGAAAATGTTCGTTGCTGACTCAAATTTGACTTTGGGAAGAGATTGTAATGAAAGTTGTGGACGTGTCTTTTTTTTCCTCTTTCAGCAGAAAGATTCTTGACTAACTATGACTCTGAGAGCCTGTGTTTGATCACATATTACGCTTCATTATTCAATGCCATTGATCACACAATTTTGTTTCAAATCCCAGCGTCAGAGCATTTGCACACAATACCGTAGCATGGTTTTCCCTTCAATTTTTTGTTGTTGTGCCATGTTTAGGCTTTAGAATATCTTCCAGAAAGAAGCATGCCTGCCCCTCCACCATATGTTATGAATTACTCGGTGACTGAAACTAACGCCTATGAACAGCATCCACAGCAGAAGCAAGTTGAACAACTCCCAGAACGACCTGGGCAACCTGCTTGCATTTACTTCGCAAGAACAGGGGATTGTAAGTTTATATCTAATTGCAAATATCACCATCCAAAAAATCAGACTGCATTGTTCCCCTCATGTGCACTGACTGACAAAGGCCTCCCTTTGAGACCAGTAAGTTCAGTCTTCTTTGAATTGTGTTTTTTCTAAAGTGCATACATAATTATGGAATAGGATCAAACAAGTTGCTGTTACACAATTTTTTTAAGTAATGGAATAATTGGGAAGTTCAAAATTTTGCAATTTTTTAGCTTCCTTTGGATAAATTAGCAATGTGCACCACGAAATGTTCATTACCAGTCCTTTGTATTCAACATAAAGTTTCTTGACTAGTTACGAGAGCCTATCTTTGATCACATATTATGCTTCATTAGTGCATGTCATTGATCACAATTTTTTTAATACCAAATTTGTTTCAAAACCAGGGCTAGAACATTTGCACACAATACAGTATCTATGGCATTTGCAATTCTGGGCCTGCTTGTAAATTTGACCATCCGTCGTTATCAACTTCCCTTCAGCGACGCAATGACTACAAATGGGGCAGGGAACATCTGGAAGTAGAAGTAGAACTGATGCTACAATCAGTCGCAGCCTCTGTAATAAGTTTTGCATGAAATCTGAAATGGATGCTAGAGCACAGGATTCGCATCACCAAGTACGTGCAACTCCTTTTATGCTATTCAGTCTTGGAAATGTATCAAACTTTTTATCCCAGCAGTTTCAGATGTGAGAATTTGATGGAATGGATAACTTCGCAAGCATCTTCAATTGGCCACTTCTGTAATGGATAACTTTTTAGTCCCTCCAAAACCAAAACTACCGCCAACAAGGGATAGAAAGGTGGTTTTCTTTTAAATAAAAATTAGGTTAGTGATTTTTTTTTTTTAACTTACTAAGAAGGATATCATACTTTGGTTTTGGGCTTGGTAAATGGAGTTTGAATTATTTTTGGTAATAGGTCAATGAAATTAAGCAACTCAAACAAATAACACATAAAAGAGGAGGGTGTTTGTGATTGAAGGTGAAGGTTCAAGTCCACAATGTATTCTGTTGTGAATCCACAATGTATTCTGTCGTGAAGTTTTTCTTCGTGACGAAGAAAAATTCACATTCAAAAGCGAAAGCAGCTTTGATACCCAAAAGGAGAAAAGGAAAAAGCAGATGACTTTGATTTTACCAATCAAAACACTGGCCCAATTTCCACAAGCCAAAACTAAAGGGAAGAGAATCAAACTTGAATTCAATGCCGTGGTGATCAGATGAGTGATGATATGTGACTGGCACTGCAGGGTGTAAGCAAACCCAGCAACCCAGCTTCCTTATCAAAAACACGATCAGCAGTGATGTTGAAAGCTCCCATTGGCCTCCCAAATCCCGATGTTCCGCCAAATGCTGAATTCTCTGATCTCGATCTTGCCATCCTTGAAGAGATTCGGAAACTTGATGCCCGCCTTGATAAAATTCGGAAACTCGACCCCTCCTGCTTGATAAGATTCGAAAATTCGACCCCGACGTCCATGATGAGCTTTATAACAATCAGGTATATCTCTCTTCTTTTTCCTTCAGCATTTGCATATGTATGTTTATGGTTGGAAGATTGAGACTTTTTATCATATTAATTGAAGGTGTCCAAGGACAAGATGAAGGAAAGGGAAGGGTTGGCAGCAGAGAAGCCAGGCCAGACAGAATGCAAGGTTATTTTCGTTATGATTTCTCAGAAACTTTCTATCTCAGGTTATGGTTTTTACTGCAATTGTTTGTTCCTCATGTCTAGATTTTGTTTTACTTCATATATTTGGTATTAAGTAGTATCTCACTTTTTTATGTTTTGATGATGGGGTATACACTTGAGCTTGTTGCAGGATTATTCCAGGTCAGGAGGACGTAAATATGAAAAAGCTTGTAGTTTAAATCGCCGAAGAGGGGAACCTTCTGTAGCTCCAATTCTAGAATGTAACTTTCTGGGCCTGCCGGCCGGTATGAATTCTAGGTTTGATCTGCAAAATTTTGAGGAATGAATATCTATTTATAATGTTTAAGATTTATGATTTATCTTTGCTTATTTTATTGGTCTGCTACCTGAATATTTATTTTAACTTGTTACAGGGGAAGAAAGACTGTTCCTTCTATATGCGAAATGCCTCCTGCATGTTTGGTACAAACTGCAGGTTTAATCACCCTGATCCTACAGCTGCAAGAGAATCTGACCCCCCATGGTAATGGCGGATCTGCATCATTACAAGGTGCATCGTCATCAACAGCAGCACCATGGTCTGCACCAAGATCATTGAATGATGCTCCGCTTTATGTGCCAATGGCGATTCTGCATGTTCAGATAGGAAGCTGGGGTAATGCAGATGGGGTTTGGGTCCAATCAAAGGCAGGAAACAAAGATGAAGCAAGTGGCTGGACAAAACCTGCTTTTATTAATGAGAATCAGAATGACAGTTGGAAGAAACCAAGTGGTGTAGATGACAATAAAAGAGCTTCCTGGGGTAAAGCAGATGGAGGTTCTACTTGGACTAAACAAAATGGAGATGCTACATGGAATAAACAAGGTGAAGATTCTACTAGGAATAAACAAGATAGCAGTTCTGCTTGGAATAAACCAGCAGGAGATTCTTCTTGGAGTAAACAAGCTGGAGGGTCTTCATGGTGTAAACAAGCTGATGTAACAGCAGGACATGAGTCTGGCGGAGTGGGGAATCAAGATAATGGTTGGAAGAGAGCAAGTTCTTTTGGTGGCAGTCAATCAATAGATGGTGTGAATGGAGACCAACCTGAGGATTTCAATAATAATCGAAGTGGTGGGAATTGGAGAGGTGGTTCAGGTAGAGGAAATTCAGACAGAGGAGGTTTTAGAGGTGGACGGGGTTTTGTAGGTAGAGGTGGTGATAGAGAGGAGGATAGAGGGGGTTTTGGACGTAGATGGGGTTTTGGTGGTAGAGGTAGAGACAGAGGGAGCTTTGGTGGTAGAGGTAGATCAGACAAAGGAGGGTTTGGTGGTAGAGGCTATGGAGGAAGAGGCCGTGGGGGGTATCAAAGTGGTGGTTGGAGCAATAGAAATGAATCTATTGATAATAACTCATCAGGCTGGAGCAAAGGGGCAGACGGTGCTGGCGAGGGATGGAAAAGGGACAATGGTGGAGGAAGTTGGAACCAAGGAGGTGGCAGTAAGAACGATTGGCAGGGTAGGAACTCTAGCGGATGGAGTAGCCAGAGCTCCGGTTGGAACCAGTCTGATGTGACTAAAGGAATTGGTGGTTCGGGATCAGGTTGGAATCAGACAGTGGAGGCAAAATATACTGCTGGCACTCAGGACAAGGGAACAGGTTCTCATAATGAAATGGGCAGAAGCTGGGGAAACAATTGGAAATCATCAGATGCTTCTAATGGGGACCAATCGTCTAGGTGGAAACAATCGACTGCAGCCAAAGAAGTCAAAGGAAACACTGATCAAGACGGCGGCTGGAACAAGGGACCGAGCTCAAACGCACAAGCTGGAGGCTGGGGCAACCAGGGTTCAGGTTGGAACAAAGGAACGGGTTCAGGATTTGGAGGCGGTACCGGAGAGCAACCAAGTGCTGCTGTTGGAGGTCAATCATCTGACTGGAAGCAATCAAGTGCTGCAAGCGGGGCTCAATCCTCTAGTTGGAATCAATCTGGTGAGGCAAAACAAGGAACTGATGAAGGTGCAAAACCGACTAATTCATGGGGCAAAGCAGCAGCAGCAAGCTCTTGGGGGCAAGGGTTCTGATGGTGGAAGTAGCAAAGGAGGGTGATGATCAAATCACGTCTTAAATGGTGTAGATACTGCTTTGTCTTTTGCAGAGCTAAAAGGATCTTAACTTAAACCCCCGTATCTATTGACAATGGTTGAAATTTTGGATGAACCCCAATCTTGGCTAAACTATCCCTTTGTCAACGTTCCAGCTTTTCTTAAAAAAGATGATGATTCCACCATATCAAAGGGATTCCTTCCTAAAATACAGAATGGAATGGTTCGGTACTTTTATTCATCGCTCCCATATTATAGTCTTCAGTTTGACTAACTATCCTCACTTTGATACACCAATTAACATTTCTTAAGGGATAAGATTTCAAATAAATCTTTTTTGTGTTAACCTTTTTGTTCTATGTTATTTTTTATTCATTTTTCTCATGAAACTAGTAGTATGACCTCTCTCTCTCTCGCGTGCATTCAACAAGTATAATAGGAGTACTACTGTTCTCTTTTTCATTTTCGCATACATGGTTTTCCCTTCAAATTTTTTTGGTTGTGCCATGTTTAGGCTCCAGAATATCTACCAGAAAGAATCTTGCCTGCAACTTGCCTATGTTATGAACCACAACACCTTTGAACAACATCCACAGCAGAAAAAAGTTGAAAAACTCCTCGAACGACCTGGGCAACCTGTTTGCATTTAGTTCTCAAGAACAGGGGATTGTATGTTTACATTTAATTGCAAAGATCACCATCCAAAAAAATCAGACTGCAGTGTCCCCCTCGTGTGCACTGAGTGCCAAGGGCCTTCCTTTGAGAACAGTAAGTTCACTGTCCTTTGAATTGTGCCTTCTAAAGTGAATACATAATTATGGAATATGATCTAACAAGTACCTGCTGTACAATATTTTAAGTGATTGAATCATTGGAAATTTCAAAAACTTGCAAATTTTTAGCGTCCTTTGGATAAATTGGCAAGGGTAAATTACTCAAATGGTCCTCAAACTTGTACGCGATTTACATTGTTGTCCCTCAATTAAATTATTCGTTCAAATGGTACATAAACTCTATTTTAATCGCCCATTTGATCCAACCGTTACATTTTCTGTGAGTTTTTAATAAGTCAACGCCAGTGGTGGGGTCTAGGATGGGTATATGCGTCTTTTTAAACCTCAAAAGGCTTTGATTGTCTTCTCCAATTAGCCAAAGACGTCGTCTTCAGTTCGTGAAAAAGGAGGTGCGAAGGCAACAACAGAGATTTTGGAGTTGTTAGGGTTCCTATTTGGGGGTTTTGTAGGAATTTCTAGATTTTGATCATTGTGGATGCTCGTCACTAATGGAGTTCGAGTTCCGTTGGGGTGGAGAGAATCCCAAATACGGTAAGGGATTCTCAGTCTGTATTTTATATTCATCTTGTTTTGCGAATCAATGCTTTTTGTTTGCAAGTGTGTGGTCCAAGGTCAGTTTCTTTATGTTGAAAAGATTCTCTGGCATTTTATTTCCTTTATGCTGGCATTGATTGCAAAGTATAGGTTTTTATGTTTGGTGTGGTCCCTTTGACTCAAAATAATTAGGGTTTAAAACTGATATATTTATTCTTCTCTCAAGGAGGAATATATATACTATATACAGAGTGGTTACAAATAGGAAATATGTACAAAATCTCCTAATTCTACTCAAATTAGATAATTACAATAAAATAGAAACTCTATTCCTAATAGGAACAAATTATATTCCTAATAGGAACGTTGACTCACGCCAACACTCCCCCTTAAGTTGATGCATAGATATCGGTAATGCCCAACTTGTCAAGTGAGTCTTCAAATCGGCGCTTAGACACAGCATGGGTCAACATATCTGCAAGCTGCTCTGAAGAAGGCACAAAATGTATAGAAATTAACTTATGCTCCAGCTTCTCCTTAATGAAATGCCGATCGACTTCTACATGCTTAGTTCGATCATGTTGCACCGGATTGTTAGCAATTTCAAATGCAGATTGATTATCACAGTGGAGCTTTGTAGCAGCATTCGGTCTAAACCCAATTTCAACAAGTAACCACCTCAACCACAGTATTTCACAGTGGAGGACCGAGACACAACGTTTTGCTTCTTGCTATGCCACATAACTAGGTTACCACTAACAAAGGTGAAGTAACCTGATGTAAAACGTCTATCTGTAATATTCTTTGCATAATCTGCATCAGTGTAACCTTCCAGATCCAAGTGACCATTTTTCTTAAATAATAAACCTCTTCCAGGAGCAGACTTTAAATAACTCAGAATACGCATTACAGCAGCCATATGATCCTCACTAGGTGAATGCATAAATTGGCTAGCAACTCTTACAACATAGGCAATATCAGAGCGTGTCAGTGATAAATAAATCAATCTTCCAACTAACCTTTGATATCTTTCTTTGTTAGTTGGGACCTGATCCACATAAACACCAAGTTTATGATTCTCAACAATATGTGTATCAGCTGGTTTACAGTCAAGCATTCCAGTATCTGCTAGTAGGTCCATGGCATACTTCCTTTGTGAAAGAAATAAGCCATGTTTAGATCGAGTGACTTCCACTCCTAGAAAATATTTCAGACTGCCCAAATCTTTCATCTCAAAGATGCTAAACGTTTCTGCAGTTCCTCGATTTCTACAGTATCATCGTTAATCACAATCATATCATCAACATAAATAATCAACAAAGTCACCTTACCAGTCCTATGTTTAATGAATAGAGTATGATCAGTATTGGCCTGTTAGTAACCAAACTTCTTCATAGCTGTGGTAAATCTGCCAAACCATGCCCGAGGAGACTGCTTTAACCCGTACAACGCCTTTTTCAATTTGCACACGTTCCCCGTTTCACCGGTAACCCTATACCCTAGTGGAAGACTCATGTACACTTCTTCTTCTAGTTCACCATGTAAGAATGCATTTTTTACGTCAAATTGCCTCAGGGTCCAATCCAAGTTTACTGCTAAAGACAACAAAACTCTGACAGTACTCATCTTAGCCACAGGTGCAAAAATATCATGATAATCAACTCCACATGTCTGAGTGAACCCTTTAGCTACTAATCTTGCCTTGTACCTCTCCACAGTACCATCTGCATTATATTTAACTGTAAACACTCATCTACATCCTACAGGCTTCGTTCCCTTTGGTAGATCAACAATGTCCCATGTATTATTTTTTTGCAATGCCTCCATTTCAATATTCATGGCTTCAGCCCACTTTGGATTATTAAATGCCTCCTCAACACGGTTGGAATTTTAACATTATCCATTCTGGTCACAAACGCTTTGCACTCAGGAGATAACCTGTGATCAGACAAATAATGGGCAATAGCATATCTCGCTTTGCCTTTTGGTGAGTAACGATCAGGTGGAACCCCAGGGTTCCGTCTAGGCGGTAAAACATAAGAATTATCAGAAGTATGAATAAAAGTACTTACCTCAGAAATATCCAGGGGAGCTTGATCGGGTACTATTAGAGAAGCTTCATGGGGGGCAATCGATTCAGTGACAGTAGTGACATCAGTTAAAATAGCAGGTTCAGCTAGTGTAGCAGGTTCTGCCGGTGTAGCAGGTTCTGCAGGTTCGGTCGGTTCTTCCTTTTGTATCAAACTATCTAATACTACTCCCCCTTGTAAATTTAACCAGCTATGTCCTTCACTACTAGTCTCCCCCTGAAGGATATGCTCGGGTGTATCAGAGAAGAACATTTCATCCTCAACAAAGGTAACATCCATAGAGACATATAGACGTCACATTTCATCCTCAACAAAGTAACATCCATAGAGACATATAGACGTCAGGTTGCAGGATGATAGCATCGGTAACCTTTTTGATGAGGAAAGAAACCCAGAAAGACACAACGGATAGCACATGGGTCCAACTTACTCCTCTGATTCTGATGGAGGTGAATATAGACGACACAACCAAACACCTTTGGAGACAGAGTCAACATAGAAGAGGCAGAGACATGATGGGTCAGTACCTGCATAGGAGTTTGGAAATCCAAAACTCGTGAAAGTAGACGATTCAAGAGATAGACTGCATAGGTAACAGCATCCATCCAGAACCGCTTTGGAACTGACGCACCAAGCAGTAGAGCACGGGCAGCAGCAAGGATCTGCCCATTTTTACGTTCAGCAACCTCATTCTGTTGTGGTGTTTGAGGGCAAGTAGTCTCATGGAGGACACCCTTAGTGTGAAAAAAATGGGATAACGCCGAATTAACAAATTCTCCACCATTATCAAATCGAAAAACCTTGATATGGAGCATAAATTGAGTCTGAATGATCTGATAGAAACGCTGAAAAATTTCGACCACATCACTTTTATTTTTCATCCCATATAAAACCACATCATACGAGTCCAATCATCCACAAATAACACAAACCAACGAACTCCCAAGGTTGTAGAAACCGGGGAAGGTCCCCAAACATCAGAATGAACTAAATCAAATGGCATAAGCCGTTTATTACAACTTGGAGGGTAGGATACCCAATGACTCTTAGCTAAAATACAAGTCTGACATTGGAAATCAGACTTATTGACACCACTAAATAATGCAGGAAACAAATGCCGTAAATATCCAAATAAGGCATGACCAAATTGGTAATGTAGCAACCAAATCCGGCAATGCTGAGAAGTGTTGGCGCTACCAGCACGAAGAACCCGACTAGTTGTCACATCATCCACATAATAAAGCCCCCTATTTTTAGTACCACGACCAAAGATCTCCTGAGTCTAGATATCCTGTAGTAAGACAAAAGACGGATACATTAGTATAACACAGTTTAACTGCTCAATAACTTGTAGTACAGATAATAAATCACTAGACAAAGATGGAACCAGTAACACTTTGTCCTATGGTAAAGCAGATGTCAAGAGTATAGAACTAGCCCCCGTGACAGGAGCAGCAGCATTATTAGCAGTCAGAACATGATCACGATGAGGCGGAAGAGTAGTAGAGAATAAAGCAGAATTATACGTCATATGGTCAGTAGCTCCTGAATCAATAATCCAACTTGTATCTTGGGTATCATGGGCATGGAAAGCCTTGCCAAAGTTACCTGGAGGCGGAGGTGTTGGAGTGCCTGAGATGGAGGTCAAAGTCGGAGGAGTAGCAGTAAGGTGATCGTGCCCAATGGTGATGTCAGCCATAGAAGTGGAGGCAACAGCCACATGAGCTTTGCTGTCCAGTTGTTCCTTTTTTAAACGTCTCCGCTCCTTCTCCCAATCTGGTACCCTACGCAATGCCCATCAGGTGTCGATAGTATGTCTCTTTTCACCACAGTGATCACACTTTAGTTTGTCTTTTTCTGCAGAAGTCAGGCGATAAGGCGGAACAGCAGAAGAGCCAGACCTTGTACGCTGGAAACCAAAGCAGGGTTTTTGGAAGCAAACACAATAGCAGGTTCCCCAATCTTGGTACTGTTTGGGCCAAAAATTGACACATCCAGCCCAAGGCCCATCAGAACAAACAAAGCTGAGTTGGGCCTCACAGGCCCAACATAAATAGGAAGAGGGAGTCCAGACCAGAAGAGGGAACAATCCCACATGGCAGCCTCTGGGATAAAAGTCAGCAATGGGGGAAGTCAGCAGGGATGAAAAGTCAGCAAAGGCAGCCTCTG